GAGCAACGTTTAGGTCTACGTGGAATTTATAATCTGTTAAGCATCGTGAAATGTTTTCTCTAAGTCTGCTATTAGTTGCTATCTTAAGATCAGACCACTTGTTTCACCTCTAAATGTTAAATTGATATAAACCATTTTCTTTTCAGCAAAAAGGAAAAATAGGCTTTTGTCTCAACTGATTATCTACACCCATTGATGAACTTTAGCTGATAGCCGTTTGGAACCAATGTTTCAGTTAAAAATTTCGCATCGTCTTCAAATGTATCCGTAGTGCATATCGTATGTGCGTTTTAACAAACCTCGCTTGCATTTCAGTGGACAAAATCTGCTGAAATTTAAATGCTGCCCAGTCCAGGTTAGTCTTCTATGAAATCAGCGCTTTATAGTTCCAGTCTCCCTTCAACTCGAAAGTAATTCTAAAAAGGGTGATTGCTTATAATTTTCTGTTACATGGGTTAGGACAATGCTATTCTGAAGAATATTAAAGTCATTTAAGAACTAAGAGACACTGAGTAATTTATAGCATACAAATAAAATGTTATCCATGCATCTTCTATGAAGATAAAAGTCGTCGACGGGCTCGTTCCACAAATTTTCAACATATGACATCAATATCAGTTAAAATAGGGCTAAAAGGAGTCCGCAAACAGACAACATTAATCTTCTGGAAATGTTCAGCAACGAGCGTGAAAAGAACTTTCTCAAATCATAAGAAAATTAATTCACTTAGTAGAGTCAACAGAATAGGAAAAAGAAGGCAATTACTTATTATAAAGACATGAAGAAAGTATGCGGTTCACTTTGACATTGCGATACCGCATACCTATAACTAGATTCGGTACCGATGCAACCCAAACCTGAAGCTACATTTTGCATTCCGAGGGGGAGAATCGCATCCCGAACATGCTTGTGTTCAAATGACTCTGCATTTTGTCAGCGTACTCACCAAGTAGAACTATGCCATCGACATAATATAAGTCAACAAGTGAATTTCCTGGTAAAAGTTCAACTCCTGAAAATTCAAACGAAGATGGTGTTATCGCCAAAACCATGTCAGTCACAAAGTTCAGTAAGAATGGAGAAAGTGAACAACCATGGCGAACACAGCTTGAAGTAATCAGTTCTGATGAAAATCCGCCATATGATCTAATTGGACAGATAGTGTTCGAGTAGAGAGCTTGTGGTAGGTTAATGTACTTCTTTGGTACATTTATTAATGTCAGACACTGCAAGAGAACCTCACGACCGACATTGTAAAAAGCCGGTTAAAGTCCTCGAACGACAACTATTTTCGGACGCCGAAATGTGTGTTTGTGTTCTAGGACCTGTCGACGTGTATTACGTTTTGGACACTATGTTCGTTAAACTGATATCTGTGTGATTGCCACAACAGGACTTTTTTCTTTTCTATACAACGGGACAGTCAGTGATTGAGACCGGTCGGATAGGATACCGTCCAGTTTACGTATTCTAGCTAAGATCTGAGCTAATTCAACTGCTAAACCTGGACAACTATTGTCAAATGCGCGCTTGAAGGTCAAGGAATGCAACAACAGTGTGTCTGTGCTACAGGACCTAACAATTAGTGAGAGTGTGGTCTATGCATCCACGTCCGTTTCTGTGATCACTGAAGTACTCTACAGGATCCACAAATACCAATACAAAACGGATGAAGAAGACAGGAAAATGGCGATAATTACTCATTTAATTACTTACGGCAGGTACCACCAATGGAACATAGGCCGCCGACCACTGTTCTCCAACCTACTTTATGCTAGGCTTCTCTTTCCAGTTCCGCCCAATTTTTATTCATTCTTCTCATATCTTTCCCCATTTCTTCGCGTTATGTGTTTCTTGGCCTCCTTTTTTTCCTTTTACCTTTGTGATTGCAAGTGAGGTCTTGTCTCATGACGCATTTGGGTGCTTTCCGCAGTGTGTGACCTAACACCTCTGCCGCTTCTTCCAGATTTCCTGCTCCATTGTAATCTGTTTTGTTCTCTCCCACAGTAGGGTGTTGCTGATAGTGTCTGGCCAACGGATTCGAAGTATTTTGCTTAGAAAACTGTTAATAAATACTTGTATCTTCTGGATGATGGCTTTCGTAGTTCCCTAAGTTTCCGCCTCAAAATGGAGAGAACTCTCACTAAAAAACTTTCAGGACAACGGCGATCGTTGGGTCTTGCCAGGTGCGTCCGTCCAAATTCTAGTTTGTGCGAATGACAACAAAATTATACTTAACACTTCAAAATGCAAAGCAGTTCATTTCAGACATGCTGCGGAATATCTACACAGCTTGGGTAATATTCCTTTAGAGGTGTCTGGAATTGAATCTAGGAGTCGTGATACCTTATGATTTGAAGTCTTACGCGATCTGTAACAACAGTGTCAACCAAGCAAACTTTGCACTGGGAACGTTAGAGCTTAGTTTCGGTCAGTTTGCTTGTAGAACATTACACCTACTTTTTAATGGCTTCATTGTCTAGTTTAGAGTATAGAAATATAGCATTTTCTTCTCCACTCCAGAAAGACTAGAATATACCGAAACTTATCCAAAGGAGAGCCACGATATCGATTCTAGGACTGAAGTCCAAACCTTATGAAGACCGCCTCACGTCAATGGATATTTTCTTTTTAGAGTATAGGTGTCTCGGAAATGACTTTCTGATGTTCCATTGAATTTTAAACACTGCTGTGCATCTTCTACAATACTTACTCAGTCTCAACACAGACCTCGGAGAGAATACCTGAAAACTAGAGGCACAACATAGAAGAATGGATGGCACATCAACTCTGTACGAGTAGTCGGATTCTGGAATTCGTTACCTAATGAGATGGTAGATTCATTGCTACAAGATACGACAGCCCGTCAAATGAAAACTTCCTCTATTTCATTCAAAAGCATTCCAACCATTAGGATAATCATGAACTGTAATCATGATCCACGCTCCCTCTGGCCAGATTTAGTAGAAAGAACAGGTAGCAACAGACTGGAAAGAAGGATTCCTCATAAATATATCAAAGAAGAGAGATCTCAACGAGTGTGAGAACGACACAGGCAACAGTCTGCTATGGGTACCAGGACAAGTCTTCAACACTGTTAATGAAAGATTCGGCAAGTGATAAACATTGAGATCTACAGGCTTCATTCAGTATGGGTTAATCGTGTTCCAACCAAATCGCGACAATTCAAATCATTGCTGACTATTCAGTCGAGCGTAACTCACCACGTGAGGTCAACTCCCTTGATTGGGTAAACAGGAGAACATAACAGTACCTTCATCGAACCCATGGTGCTCCTGAGAAGATTGTCAACATCATACGAAGTTCTTACGACGAATTATACTCCAAAATCGTGTGTGCAGGACACTTCATAGATGGGATCCAGCTGAAGATCAGTGCCAAACAAAGTTACTTACTCTCGCCCTTCCTCTTTTCTTGTGGTCGACTGGATTATAAGGTATTTCAGAAAAGCGAAAAATACGGTGGACAGTTTGGATGGAGTTGGACGGTTTGCACTGCTCAGATGATCTAGCTTTTCTGTCCCACACACACCAACAATTACATATGAGGACGTTAAGTTTAGCAGCAACCCCTGCAGAAGTATGCCTTGAGATATACAAAGGAAGAAGCAAGCTATTGGGGTATAAAACAGTGAGCAACAACCAATTCACACTTGACGGAGAAGCTCCGAAAGAGGTGAACACAAGAGGAATTTGACGTGGATGTGAATGAACGGATTGGCAAAGCAAGGGAAGTATTCGAACAAGTCAAGCACACCTAGTACTCAAAACAACGGCCAGCCAGCAGCAAAGTCGGAATTTTCAACACAAACGTCAAGACAGTTTTGTTGGATGGGCCGGAAACTTGGAGAACTACGAAAGCCACCAATCAAAAGATACAGGTGTTTATTAACATTTTTCTACTCAAGAAACTGAGGATCCGTTGACCAGACACTGTCAGCAACAAACTATTGTAGGAGAGAACAAACCAGATCCTAGTTGAGGAAGAGATTAGGAATCAACGCTGGAGGTACATAGAAAACACACTGCAGAAGCAACTCAATTGTGTCCCGATGCAATCTTCAACCTTGAGTAGTAAAACAAGGAACATATTGAGCTGATAGTTGGAGAAAGACATGGATAGATCGCAATCGGATAGATTTGGAAATAAGTACGCAGGACATGTTTCTTTTTTTCTTGAATCTTTCATTAATCAGCTTAGTAATATCAATTACAGGAAGTGAAACATATGATCCGTTAATCAGTAAATATACTCTAAGTCTAATCTGATCATACAAGTAACGACTGTTTCGTGATTATAAGACCTGATGCATGCGACGATTAGGAGTTATAATACAATACAGCCTACAAGAACAACCAACCGTGAAATGGCTGCACTAACTATGGAGAGTTCAGAAGATATAATCCTGTATGACGATTTAAAAATGCATGGCAGCAAGGTAGCATGTACTCTTATTTCAAAGTTTATTTTAACCATTCGACATCCTGTATCCCTTGATCCTGATGGCTTTCAAACATTTTTCTATTTCCAGATATCGGTTTTTAATGTGGGGCTACATTCAGCTTCGTTATTTGGTTACTGCTCAATCTAATGTCAATAATCACATATGCTGTGATCACAATTACCAATTTTATGGATTACGCACACTACCTTGAAAATAATCAAAAGTCACATGATTGAAGAGCGATAGCTGAATCACGAAGACAGTCTCAGACTCGCAGCATACATTGATTTGCTAAAGCGAAACACCTGGATCCTTAACGAAAGAACAAGAAGCAAGTGCAAAGAGATCAATTGGTTTTTACTAGCTTGGAGAAAGATTTTTAGTTTTATTGAATACATTTCTTTCTCTATAATGGTATCTACGTCTTTTTGGAGCAATCATTTGGTTACATTAAATCAGTAATAAGAGACCTAATGCGAAAATTACTTCTATTTCGTCCATAACCATTAGAACAATTCAACCTTCAGTGGCGCACAAGATGACCTTCGGTCAACCAGCTCTTTCTGTGCTTCCATTAATTGGACCGACAACAGCCGAAACAATGAATACCATAGCGTTATCATAGCATTGAGAAGAACGTTATGCCGGGAGATATTGGACGTATTCCCATAATATCTCTTAGTGGATGCAAGTATTTGACTAATATTGTCAATGACCTTCCTCTTCCTAAATCGACCAATATTCCCATTAAATGTCATACTCTGCTAAATGACCAAAAATTTGCTCAAGAGGCATACAGATGTATCAACTGTCAGAACGAGGTCCTTGTTGGAGCCCTTATTAAAGCTATAAGCAGTGTCAATAATGATGTGTAAGTTCCTATTGTACTAAGACTTAAAATCTCAAGACAATTCAAGGATAAGTCTCTGGAGCACAGCGTGGATTCATCTACTTCTCCCTTGCTACTTCGTGCCCTGGTGGAAAAGAAGCCAGATATTTTATTGTGTAAATCTCCACTAAATCTCTCGCGTCAACTTGAAGGTTTGAAGTTTTTGATATGATTCAGTCTTTAGGTCTTTCCAAATCCAAAGAGTCTGTCACTAATGGGCCTAAAGCAACTAACAAGCCAAAAATTAAGAAGCCCAAGGGTAGCAGTGTTACTTATAATGCTGTGAGTGTAGCACCTCTAAAAATCTCCATCAAGAAGACCTGTACTTTGAAAGTTAAGAAGACCGCTAAAACTGACAAAGTTCCAGAAATTAATTCCCCAATTCACAGTACTCATATAGTAAGTTTCATCTTGTTACGTTTTCGTTACCACCTTGGTGCAGTTTGCTCACTTTGTGAATACAACCTTAAAAGCGTCGAAATAGTGTTTATTGTTTAACATTGTCCTATACGTCATTATTTACAACCGGTTCATTGTGTCCTCAAATTGTCTGAATCACTGTGCTAGTGATAGGATATCTATAATTCCCATTACTTCCTCGTTAGACACTGGTAGAGATTTCGCCGGTACTTAAATGTTGTCATGCAGCTCTCAAACATCGACTAATAATTTTCCCTGAAATCATTTGTTCCAATCATAAATATTTAGGTAACATCACCTCTCTTTACAGAGTTCTAAGTGTGCATTCTGATGGCTAATCATCTTAAGCAGCTAATTTCATGTATGTAGACATTTCAGATTTAGCAACGACACTACAAAGAATTTCATGAACAAAGTATTGAGAAGTATATAATGTCAAGTATTCACTTGATCTAGATGTACTGGTTTGCGTCATGCATCTTGATACATGCTCATATAGCGTCACTTGTAGAACACAGGTCACCTCAAATAAGCCTTTGGGAATGCAACGCACTTGTAATGGATTAGAAAGATTCGTTGACTAGCAAGAGTATTACTCGCTGAAAGGTACAAAATACCCAGTTTATAGCTGAATTTTTTTCTGTGAAGATAACCAACAAATAACAACCAAATGGAGCGTTCTCCAAAAATTTCTCAATCCATTGCGTTTTATTGTATCTACGATTAAGCCGATAGTCCTGTAGAACGAACAGATATCTTTCTTATTCATCGATTCCTATTTTCATGGCATTACATCTTACTGCCAAACCTAGTCTGCTACCTTGATGTAGGTGGTCAGACTTGCTTATCGGGATAACCCAACCAAGCTATATTGGCTGGAACATATGTTCCTGTAGATCTTACCATGTCAGGCAAGTCAATTTGAGAACGGTGAAACTTAAAGCAGAAACTTAAGGTCTGAGGGTGAAGTCGTACTGCTGACTGTAGAGAGGTGTGATAGCATTAAGCTGTCTCCCTCACACACCCAGCATCTGCAGCGATGCACCCTTTTCACAAGAAAGGAAGGGTTAGTAAAGGGCGACCCTGAAAATGTCCCTCCTCACCTTCACAGATTTCCGTATCCGGCTGTAAGTCACCTTAAAGAGCGCAGCTGAAACTTTACCACCCTTCCATCAAAAGGCCATGCGTGTGGGAAGAACAATGAATCGATCATCTACAACGTGGAATTTCGTATGTACGTATATCAGCTCAAGTTGCCATACCATATCAACATGGAGAGACACGGTTATTGTTTCGAATCCCATACTAGCGGAGGAAGTAGAAGTAATAACCGTAACGGAGGTTAGGGTTCAAGGATATAATCCTAAAAGCAAATTCCAGTGTGGTTTATTTGGAAATAGAAACAATTAAAAGGAATACAGAAGATTGCAATATGAGAGAACAGAAAAAGTATGAATCTCCCCCATGGCAAACGATCTAGTCTAAGACAACTATTTGTGCTTTGGAACTTGATGCTGTACCTACACCAGGGAGGCCATGAGAAGCAGCAGTGCGGCTTGCGGATATACGAAGCGTAAATCGCGGTGGTTCTTTATTTTGATATGACGAGGTCAAATGAATGACTGTTTTCGGATCCGGGATGCGCGTTCCGGAGATAGCGTCGATAGCCACGTCAAACGTTTTTGATGTTTTTGGGGCTGCTTTTTCCATTCATTGTGACTGTTTTTTAAAATCTTCAATCAATACAACAGATCATATTCATAGTGGCGTTTATCATTTCGAAGGGAACAAGAAGAAGGATTTGAGCAAAGTTAGATGAAGTGATTCTTCTGATTCTCCTCAGCTGTTTACAACGGGTTGTATATAAAATCGTAGTCACTTATTGGATTTAAATTATTCACATAAGTGTTTATTTGGAAGTTGGAATTTTGGTACTGCGGTGAAGAACAGCAAGGCTGTAAATGATTTTAATAGGCTGAATAAAAGGGTGTAAATATATTTCTAATATTGCAATAATGAATCGATCGTTGTTAGACCACCATTAAAAACCTGGCGGCACTTGGCGTCCTTTTCGTCCTAGTATTCGACTCATCAGCAGTGCACATTATACGAGAGAATATTCACCAAGATTGATGATAACAAAAATCTGAGGGGATAGAAACAAGTGGTTACGTAAGACTCAGTAAGTTAAAATAAGATTGCTAATCTAGAAGCCAATCGAAGTAAAAAGTAATAAAGTAATTGGGTAAAAGAAAATGTTGAACAAAAACTTGTGATCTAATCACCAAGGTAAAGAAAGGTTCATAATCATCTCTTTCTAAACAGACAAGAAATATTTCAGTCGCCGGATAACAACGGCGTTACCGCTAACTGTATCCATAAATTTACGTGTACCTGCCAAGGCATCTAAGTTAACCGAAAATAAAGGAGAGCATACCTTAGATTTTTTGAACCTATTCCTTGAAGCCTTCGAAGAGAGGAAAGGTGTACCTTCAAAAGTGAAATCATTGAACATTTGTTGGTTACCGAACATCAGTCTGATCCTCTAGATTTTGCAAGGTGATTAGTAAACAGACACATTTCAGTCTTCTGTTCGCTGACACCATTGCTATTTGGCACCTGTAACCAGATTTATATGTTCGAAAAGAGAGTTGCTAATCTTTACCTTGGTGCTTGGCTGTTCATCTTGAAGTCTAAAACTGGTGATGGAATTTTTCAACCTAGTTTCAAACTGTAAGGCAAACCGCCTGCACTGTTACGCAACTCCTTCACTCATGTCTTTTCGTGGTTGAGTTAGTATTCGTTGCATTTTATACCACTAATCAGTAATGGGAGAATATAATTTTTAACTGATATATACTCTGTGTGCGATTATTCAGTCAATTTCTTTATACTGTTTATAGTAACTATTGCCTGTTGTTCTCACGTCGCTAATGTAGATACCAGTAATTTTTTATCTTTCATTATTATTGACCTATTTTCTAACTGTTGTTTTCATGTATCTATGTATCTAATAGGGAGATAATCCAGATAAAGCAGAAACATGTCCTGTAAAAATTACTTCTAACACTCTCGACTCTCAAGATCATTGTGATATTTTGGATAGCCAATTACTTGATTCTGTTGCTGAATCCCAGAACAACCCTTCTAATTTCAATAACTCAGAGAAGTCAGAAGATTGTAGTAAAATAAACTTAGACTCGTCGAAACTAATTATTTCTACAGCTTCAATCTCTTTAGATACTACTATAAACCCAGTAGGAGACCAGACTAGTTACTCACTATCAGGTTTATCGGTGAATACTTTGGTTGACGATGCATCGAAAATGGAAGTTTCCTCAACATATCATACTCCTCACTCTCCGTGCCAAGCTAGTGAGTTATGTACGGGGCGTTCTTTGTCTCCTAAAACTAGTGATCCCACCTTTGGATTATCGGGTTGTGATACAAACTCAGCTCCAACTCGGCGAATCCCTGACCCAGCATTGTCCCAAATCTTCCACTCTGTAGCTCTCTTTCACACTTACCAGCCTACATGTGAGCCTGATAAAGGAGTGGATAACGAAGGCGGTGGCCTTTTCGATGATTGGGTTGATGCACCAAAACTTCCAGAGTCACCGGCTATACCTGCTCCTACAGTATCAAATAAATATATCCCTCCTGGATGTACTTCTCAGACGCCTTGTATCACATCTACGTCAGTAACTGTCAAGGAAAATTTAATTGTCTCTGCTGGTAATGATTCAGTGGAGGATCCACCTCGTAGTCCGTCGTCCATGCTTTCGGTTAGCTCATATCCAACCACTCCAGGTAAAAACATCCCTGTCGCATTTCAAAATGCTACCTTTGCTGTAACTGCACCTGCGTCATCAGTGGCAGCATCTCTTTCATTATCCAAGAATAATGCACCATCACCTACGAGATTATTTGACTCACTTGATGAAACTCCGACTGCAAACTTGTCCACTTGTAGTGATTTGGAAGAACAGGTAAATAGTACTCCTCATGGACTGGCTGCCTATCTACCCCGTTGTAACAATCAGCGACTTCTTAACTCCGCACATGCATCTGTGTTTTCAAATGAAGATGTTCCTGTAACTTTTGCAAACTCAGTGTCTCCAAGATCAGCTTTGTCCCCGGGTACTGATTGTATCGACACAAGTTCTATCAGTCCGTTAGAGACAGCTGTTCGAACTTCAGGTTCTTTGAAAACCATCGGTTTCTCTGGTATTGGTCCGATAACTTACTCGAAGCCGAAACAAAATGGTCGTGGTCGTTTCTCAACTGGAAAACCCAGAGGTGGAGGTAATACATATTTTTTCATGTTTTGTCATTAGTGCCATATTTTAGTTCGATATATGTCCCTATTTTAATTTCACAAAACTGCATGTATAGTTTAATGAAGATTTCGGATTCAGTTACTGTATGTATACAGTTACCGAAACTATTTCCCGAACTTGATGAATATCAGCCTTCATGTTTTTAAGAATTTACATAGTAATTTAATAGTAATGTTTTAAAACTTTTATTAAGACTTACCTGAACACTTCAACTCTTCCACGGCGTGGGCAGCCGGGAAGTAACATCCGCCCTCATACCCATAAAAGCACACGAGACCGAATTGGCCACAATCAAATCCTTTCTACACTTCTTAATAACTCTCTTATCTTCTCGACCAACTCCTCGTTTGATCACATCACGCCAATGAAGCAGACGGTCCGAGCTCTCTAAACATTATTCCTGGTCTCGTGAGACCTCGTACTAAATTACATATAGGAGCTTTTAATGTTCGGACCCTATGCCAAATAGGACAACAGGCTTCATTAGCTAGAACTCTGGAATCCCGGGCGATCAATGTATGTTGCGTCTCCAAAACTCACATGCACAATCCGAGTAAAATCATCAATTTGATCTCACCTGGTGTAGATAGAGACACAACAAAGTTTACGCTTCGTGTTTCTTTAAGACCTGATGCCGCTTCTCGTGGACTCGCCGGCGTAGGTATATTATTAAGTCCTAGGGCAGAACAAGCTCTCGTAGACTGGATCCCGATAGACAGTCACTTATGCGCTGTCCGGCTAAACGGGACAGTACGGACTCGGAAGGATAGGGACACTCGCCGTTGCCTCTTCGTCATATCTGCCTACGCTCCCACTGACTGCAGTTCAGACGACATAAAAAATAAGTTTTATTGAAACCTCTCTAAATTTCTCCAAAATGTTAAGCGCCCTGATATAGTAAGAATGGCTGGTGACTTTAATGCTTAAGTAGGTAGACTAAGTGAGCAAGAAAGACACCTAGGTGGATGTTATGGTTTCGCGGCTAATAGAACAGATAGTGGCGACCGTCTGCTGCAGCTATGCTCAGATAACCGACTATTTCTAGCAAACACTAACTTTAGGCATAAGATAAAACCTTTTGACCTGGCTACCCCGAAGGTCGTCTCAACGTTGGACCCAACTAGATTACATCGCTATAAGCCATCGGTGGAGAGGCTTTGTTGAAGACTGCCTCTCATTCTGGAGCACTTGTTTAGACTAAGGAAAAGGCAACTGCGATAGACAACATTAGACAACTTTTCCGCCTTATAAAGGAAGCCGGCACTAGAAATCCATTTGTTAGCTAAACTATCGCAGAAAATAACGATTGTATCATTCATTCTCAATCCATGAGATTGGACGAGTGTACTGCTGAGTAGTTCGCTCCGTCCTACTTTATGGCTGTGAAACATGGCCAGTCAGATTAGAAGATATTCGTAGGTTACTTGTTTTCGACCATAGGTGCCTCCGAAACATTGAGTATCGTGGGACAACCGAGTCAGCAATGCTGTTATTAGGAAACGGATGCTAGGTAAGGATGGAAGGTCAATAGATGAAGTAATGAAACTTCATCAGTTGAGGTGGTTGGGACATATGTTACGTATGCTCATCCACCGACCAGGTCCATTTACTCTTTGTGTTCTCTGAAATTCTAGTCGGAATTTCTCATCACCTCTATCTTTCTCTTTCTAAATTTACCTCACTGAATTTACTTCTGGAATAACATCTTCGAACCCTAATCTCTCCGATTACTTCTAATACTTTTACTACCTCTACTACTATTGGATTTAATTGACAATTGTGTCTCTGTGCTGACGTGGTATGGCAACCTTAACTGCTATACTTACCTGCAAAGTTCCATCTTGCTGTTGATGTTGATGATGATGATGATGATGAATACTTCAACTGGTGTCCGGACCACATGATTATTCGCTAATCACTGTTCCATGCGTAAATAATCATCTAGTGGATCAAAACATCTCACTCACTTAATAATTGTGAAACGTCGTAGTCATGTCGTTTATTACTCAAATCCGAATCATGAAAATGCAGTCATGTTCTATGTTTTAAGATAACCTTTTTATCGACGTAGTGAGGCGTTTTAATAGTTTTCCATTGCTTAAGTGTTTCCGAAAGTACATGAATCGCTTTCATTGTTTACATCAACTTTCAGGTCGTCGTAGACGAACTGAACTTGAAGAACTTAAGAGGTGGAGTGTCATAGATCATGCGAATCCTGGTTTTGAACCGAACAGTGGAGATAATTGTGAAGTGCGCTATTCGCCTCGAAACTCAATTACCAGTGGAGATCCTGCGACTACATTTGCTATATCAGAATCTTCGGTTCAGACTGCTATTTCCAAAAAGTATGTTTCAAACTTAAATTTTTCGGACGTATGCAACCAATATGGTGGCTTTACGGAGGCTCTTGTAGAACGTGTCAAGCGGCGTCGACAACAACGTGAAATGGAATCTAAAGGTTTTAAAGTATCACCAATCAAAGAGACGCTTAGGAGTTCCTGCGAAGTTTCTCCCCTATCTACCCCATCTCCGGGACAGAGTCACCCTAAAGTCACTTCACCTCTTAGAGTACATAAGTCAGCCGGTTTTTTAAAACGTGAAAATAAGAAAGGTACTCAGCGTACAACAATCAAAACAGAGCGTGATTGCCAAGAAAAAGAAGGTAGCATTGATTCAGCTACAAATAACTTTACCAAACTCATCCAGTCAACTGACAGTGATTGTTCTCTGTCACCTACTAACACTGTTTTATCCTCTGTTCAGTCTCATTCACCGTCCATCAGTAGTGTCCCACCTATCGACGCTATGCACCCTAGCCCTCCTGTATTATCTTATAAGAAGATTGACTCACCAAGTAACCGTCGTTCACAAGAAACTGCTGAGTATAATCGATTGTCAAGATTATTTGTCCCGTGTAACGCGAAGAGTTCCAACGTGGCATCCAGTTCCAGCAATGATATTGCATTGATTTCTACTTTATCTACTCAAGTAAGTGGTCAGGACTCGGATTTCTCAGATGTAAAACGAGTTCAGGATAAATCAAATTGGAAAGATACAATGTGTTCATTGAAAAGTAACTGCCGGGAACCAGTTGCCGTGCAAGTATGTTTGTTTAGCGTTACTTTTGGCTTAATGAGTAAAGCTTATCGATTATTTTTGTACCTAACAATTATAAATTCTATCATTGTATTGACAGTTCACTAAAGCTATGATCACAAAATTTGTTAGATAGTGGGTTTCACTGTACACTTATTGCATGACTCTCATTTCTAAATAAATTTTCAGGTAATCTTCCCTGGAAATTCAACGACGAAAAATTTATTGACAGATTTCATTATTCTAACTTTCCACCTCTAGAAATTACTGAATACGTCTACAAATTTATTCTATTTGCAAATTACTTGTCTCCAAAACAGTCTTTTCATAACATGTATAGCTAATTCGTAGTCCATCAAAATACGGGTCACTGAAATGTCTATCCAAGACATCCGAATGATTAGCGTTTTGTTATGTCCATGTTACGCTATCTTAATAGCAGGAATTAGCTATGTTTGAGATTTAATTTACTGATTCACTCTGGAGTTTCATTTATTTGCCAGGGTTCCTTTAAAAGACATAAACGCGTATCTGTATTTTTGTTTGGTATTGGCGGATTTTCATCAGAACTGATTACTTCAAGCTGTGTTCGCCATGGTTGTTCACTTTCTCCATTCTTACTGAACTTTGTGACTGACATGGTTTTGGCGATAACACCATCTTCGTTTGAATTTTCAGGAGTTGAACTTTTACCAGGAAATTCACTTGTTGACTTATATTATGTCGATGGCATAGTTCTACTTGGTGAGTACGCTGACAAAATGCAGAGTCATTTGAACACAAGCATGTTCGGGATGCGATTCTCCCCCTCGGAATGCAAAATGTAGCTTCAGGTTTGGGTTGCATCAGTACCTGAACTGGTTATAGAGAGTGAGGCGGTTGAGCATGTTGACTGCTTCACTTATTCGGAGTCTCATCAGTGCTGACGGCCTGGTGACTGACTAAATCCCAGCACGAATGCAGAAGGCTCGACTGGCTTTTGTCAACATGCAGACTGTTGAACGATTCTACTGCGCAGCAGTTCGCTCTTGGGGCAACCGATTAAGCAATGCTGTTGTTAGTATACGGGTACTCGGTAAGGATAGCAGATCAGTAGATGATATATTGAAACTTCATCAATTGAGGTGGTTGGGTCAGGTATTACGTATGCCCCACTACCGACTGCCTCGACGAGCGATGATGCCTGGTATAGGGGTAGGCTGGAGGGTATTTAGGGGCGGTCAGACCAAAACATGGCAGAAATCCATGAAATCAGTAATAAGTTGACTGAGTCATGTTGGTAGGTGTAGACTACCTGGTTGTGGTCTGCGAGATGGTAGTAACCGATGGTTAGAAGAGACCTTGAATGACATGGCTCGAAATCGTCTGCGATGGCGCAGGTGCATTTATTCTTTGTGTTCTCTGAAATTCTAGTCGGAATTCCTCATCACCTCTATTTTTCTCTTTTCGAATTTATTTGACAGGATAATATTTTTTGAATATTATCTTCGAACCCTAATGTTCTCCATTACCGCTAATAATTCTACTATCTCTACCATTATTGAATTTGAACTGACGATAGCGTTTCTGTGCTGATGTGGTATGGCAACTTGAACTGATGTACATATGCACGAACTTCTACATTGTTGCTGACTGTCTCACTGCGGAATGTGTTTTAATGTTTGAAAAAATTTCGCTCTATTATTTCTAATTTCCAGTTCGGAGTGTTGTAATGATCTTACATATATTGGTTTAGCTCAGATGTCCTTTATTACGCACTATTTTGTATCTTTTTCATCTTCTTTTGCAATCAATTATTGTCCTGAGTAAAAATCATTCAAAAAACATAAGTACAAAGTCTCGCGGTCAAGGAAGTTTCTTTAACTCTGTTCAACGGTTTCATAATTCTTTAATCATAACAAGGTCGCTTTTGCATCCTGACCACTAGATAATGTTGAGTACGATATTAAGTGTTGTATCTGTAATCGTTGTCTAATGTCGCGCGACAAACAAAGCACTATTCGGTATACGATTACGCGCTAATAATCCTTAGTTAACAGCTATGTTCCTATTGGCTCAGAATCCTCTTTCTGTCTGGTTCGTTGAATTCAGATGTCCGTAGACAGCCTCCACTGATCGCATAGAATTGAAGACATATATCGAATATACATGGTTTCTATACAAGCTATGTCACACCAATAAATAGATAATATCAATGAAATGAACAAGTCAAAAAGTGGCTATGGATAATTAAGAATAACAAATTGCAACAGAATTATAATCATAAGTCATACAACGGTATTTATTGAGCTAATCATGAACTCAGGATATAATAAATATGTATAATAATAGTCCATAAAATAATCCTGACATTTACCATACTTTCAATTTCCGTTTTGATATAATAACTAGTTACTTGATCAAGTAATAAAAAGATGTGTTTATAATTGAAAATTCTTTAACTTTTCATCTAACTATATATCTTTATAATGTTACCATGAAATCTTGTGAAGAATACCTAGACATCGTGTGGTTCTAGGTATCAGACTGTGGTAGACTAATTTCAGTGCAAATCAAGTTTATTTCCGAAATTTTGTCTACATAGCCTTAGTGTGGTAGTTTGTTAGAGAAATCAATATTGGTGGATTCCGTGTTTGGCCAATTTCTTTGGGAGATATGGCTTCTAATAAGTGATATTAATCCTCAGTGCTATTTATTCGAGAGACACTTGTCGAATTCACATTTTATATTCTTTGTTATTCTTATAAATCTGAAAGTAAAATGATATAAATTTCGTCGTATTGAAGATGCTATTAATATATGCACATTGTAATGCTACTTGAGAGAGCCTATCGTATTTCGTCAAAAAAAACCCCGAAGACACTATTTTGTTTTTTACATAGTGGCTAGGAGCTCAATCAGCTACAACGTAGAACTTGGTACGTACGTAGATCAGTTCAAGATGCTATACCATATTAGCACAGAAAGATGAAATTTTCAATTCAGCAGTATCAGCGGTAATCGAAAAGATTAGGGTTCGAAGATATTGTCCAAGAAGTTTAAACCAGTGAAATAAATTTAAAAAGAGCAAAAAGGTCATGAGTAATTCAGATTAGAATTTGATAGAAGAAAAAGAATTGATGCATCTGCGCCACTGTAAGCGATTTTGAGCCATGTCATTCAGTCTCTGACTATTGACTCGTGCTAGTCTACACTTAACTTGGTCCAGTTAAGTTGTCAGTGACTATATAGATTTGTACCATGTTTGGGTCTAGTCGTACTTAACATTCTTCCATCCTACCCTTACATCAGAAAATGTCGCTCGTTAATGTAGTCGGTGGTTAAGCTAGGAGTTGCATCCGATTTGTCTTTTTTGGACTAGTTAATGGTATGTTCCTGAAATCACAGAGATTCGACTTCATTTCTGTTAGCATCACGTTATCAAGTATCTTTGTAGTTACTACTATGTCTACTCTCAGTGCCTCTGCTGGAAATCCGACTGATCCCTTTGCTTTGCCGCTCTTGTCCGATGGCTATTCTGATCTCTTCAGTTGGTGGTTCAAGATAAATAATGAGGTCCGTGGATGCTACTTCGATGTTGGGTAGGCTCGGTGGGTCTGATCTATTCAGGAAATCTTCAAAGTGCTCTACCCACCTATCTCGCTGTGCTCCAATGTTACCGATTACTTTGCCTTCCTTGTTTTTCTCTGGTCATTCTGGTTTACTTTGGTTTCCTGCGAGCTTCTTTGTTGTATCGTACGATTGTCTCGAGTTTCCTTCTCTTGCAGTCTTTCCCATCGTTACTGCTAGATCTTCCACATATTTGCGTTTGTCAGCTCTAATGCTCATCTTCACTTGCTTGTTTGCATCTGTGCATTCAGCTTGTGCCTTGACTCTCTCTGCTCTTGTTCGGTTGATGTTGATTGCTGCGTTTTTGCTCCTCCTTTCTTGAATTTTATCAAGATTGCGAACCGAGATTTATTCCATTTCTGCAGCAATTAGGAACAGTCTTCTGTTCTCCCACAATGTTCAAACATTCCATGTGCCTCAAAGAATGGTTGCTCTGGTTGTGAAAAGCGGCGTCGGCATCGTGACTTGCGAAGGAACTCAGCTTTCATCATGAGACGTCATTACTCTTCTAAATGAAAACCTAACTCTCAGGGCAGAGTTTAAATCGTTTGAATTGTTTTTTCTGGTTAGCGTTTTTGTAGCGACTTAGTTTTCTATGGGATGGGGTCACTAACCTCATGTTCAACCTTCTTTTGTCAGGATCCCAGAGGGGCTCCAGGCATAGTTTAACTGATTGTTTCTATCCATGAAGTAAAGCGAATATCTTGTTCATATATGGGTTTTATTTTTTATCGAATTACTTTTCTTATTTGCTCACATTTTTCAGCAGCTGTTGTGACACCTACTTTCCTGTTAGTATTTTCTCTTAAAAGTTTCACAACATTTACTAAGTAAGATGTATTGATCTTGGTACCTCCTTGTTAGTTATCAGATTCTTCAACATTCTTGAGTGTCGATTATTAAATCGTCCAACGATTTTATCTTTTACATCGAATTCACCTTTTTTATGAGTAAATCAAATATAATCCATACTTAGTAATATCACCATTAGTAAAGTATCAATTACTTGTTATCAGACTTATCGATTTTCTTATACGAAACGATGCTCTCTTTCTGGTTATTTTTCTTGCTCTTGGGATCTAATTTGTAATAACATAAGTTCTGTTGATATCCTTATATAGACCTACTGATGATGGATTACTTGTTTTATGTAGATAAAAAACCTGATGCCCTAGAGTAAACAACATATCCACCACAAAAATTCGTGACATCAGTAGTATAAAAATAGGTGAAGGAAAAAACGGTAATTATGTTGATTGAGAGGACATTCAAGAAATTATTTGTTCTAATTTTTTTGTTTTACTGTTGAGTCAACTGTTGAAACATTTTCAACCTTTATCTATCACAATATACAGTTTCGGTCCCCCGCCAACCGGTGTTTTGAACCACTGCATTGCATATTATCCCCCGTGAGTCCTTAAACATCAATGGATGATAACACCACATAAACACTTCCACGTTGCACTGTTTTAAAATAACAGTCTTCAAATCTTCAAAGTTCCACTAAACAATATTGGGTCAGGAACCTACTGGAAGTCACTTCGAATTCGTCCAAGCATCGTGACCTAACCTTTTTACGATGAGGATCTTCGCCATATCCGAACACGAGTCACTCTGTCTGTAGTTTTGCCTGCAATGTTTTTATGATTGAATGTGGACCAGCACATAAAAAATAATAACCGAATACAGCTAGGCTTTTAAAGTTCTTGACGGGCATATTTCGTAGCTGTTATAGTTTTCTATCGATATATGACATTTTCTTATTTTGTCGTTTTTCAATCCCAAACATTTTTGTTTCAACCAATTTGTTGCAATTTTTAAATTGTACTCATTAACTTTTATTTGTAAGATATTTGTTCATATTTGTTTGTCAATCTTTTTTTAGTCTTTCAGATCCCATTCAGTTCATGGATCTTACACTCAGTCAAATGATTCGTCTTTACATTTGCCACCTCTCTTACCTTTGAGTCGGTACTCTCCTACTTTGCTTCACAAACCGTTATCTATTGATGTATCAGAACATGCTGAATCTCAGGATCACGTTGGTAAGTAACATCATGGTGTGACGCTTTTTAAAAACCCTAGCTTCTTTGATTAGCTTAAGACTCAGTTTTTGAAAGAATATTGGACACTGCCTAAAGTATGTTTGTAACTTTCGGTATAGATTTGTGGAGATTGTTGAGTCTCTTTTAAATCACCAGCCGATCAATGTTGGACCACCATTGGAAACACTGGACGGCCGTTTCGTCCTAGTATAAAAATCGTCAATATTGCGCACCCAGGACCTTCCGTCTCGCGCGCGAACACGTCTTGACCACTAATCCGGAATCCAACGCTGGTAATGTCTAGCTTGAATCTATCCACACCATTGCATGGTCATCAATTGTCTTCAGTGGGTCCCTTCCTCACGTCCGTGACAGTTGGACCACTGGTCAAGGCTTCGATATTAACACCGTTAGATGTCAGCTGAGTAGTCAAGAAGTTAAGCATTCACGCTCGCGAACGAAGGTCCTGGGATCGATTCCTGTCCGCAGGGTCGTGAATGCGTACTGCTGATAAGTCCGATTGCAGAACGAAACGGCCGTTCAGTTTTTCCAGGTTTTTAATGGTGGTCTAACCTTGATCACTTCATGTTTGTAACTGTTTACTGTGATGGACTACAGTTCAGCATTTAAAACGTTCCTGCTAGCGTAATTACGTGTTTTAAACCTCAATGAAGTGAAACGTAAAATAAAAATGTGGTATCTCTCGTGCAATAAGTAGACATAAAAACAATTTAGCCAACAACTACTGCAAAAGTTTCCTAAATTGGACTAGTTTTATTTCGCTGTTTCAATCTTTATAATTTATTTATTTTCTTTGATCATAAGTCGATTTAGAATATGATTCATCCCCCAATTAATATTGTCAGCACTTACACAAAGAAGGATAAGGGTGTTTGCAGAAGGTTTTACACTGTGTTAGAATAATGATTTCGGGAATCAAATGACGTGACAGATTAAAAGCATACAAAGGTACAACTATAAATCTAAAAGACATATAATCATAATTACGAGTGGAATAGAGATTGCTTCAAATATTTACTTTACTTCCTGTTTGCCTCAATATTTATACCAGGTATATGGAGTAAATCTGTCTGAGGAATACAACTACATTATTTTTATTTTATTTATATTTTGGACTCAGGTTAAATTATAAGTTATATTGACAACTGATTTAAAAAAAATACAGGCCAGTGATTTCTATAACTTTTTACGTGTTCGTACAACTAGAATACATTAATTTTCGACAGCTGGATCTCCATTCCTTATGAATCAATTACATAATGATTTTTTCAAATGTATTTAAGTTTAAAAATACTCGTTCCATTTACTCTGACTTCGAAAACTGGATGGAATAATAATAATAATAGTCCTCACTCTTCATACCCAAGTACTTGGTGGATAAGTTAATTAGTTTTGAACAAATTATTTTCAATTAAGTTTTGTTTAACATGTTATCGTTCAAATGACCGTGAAATAAAAAACATCAGAGTTAATCGAATCAAATAAACAAATCTTAGTGTACACAAAAAACAATGACTGATGATAATAAGCAGAAAAGTCGTTAACCGGAGCTTTGGAACTTGATACAGACTCATATAAAGTGGATGAACAATCCTGTACTTGTAGCGAGACTGAAAAGTTATTGAGAAAAATTCCCTTTTCCTTGACATTATTAACCTTATTGATGTTGAGACTTACTAAGGTTAGACAACACTCGATTTTAGCAGTCATCTTTAGTTCGCACAAAAAATTACGGGGTTAAAAAAATGCATCTTGTATACGATTCTTTGTTTATATTTCAGATCTCAAATCCACTGTTAATAATTTTAAGGATTCTGCGAATCCTGTCAGTTCTTGTCATGTATTTGGTGCTATTTCATTTTCGTTCATAATAATAATTATTGTTAATAATAATAAATCGGTATAATCCAGTAACAATTCTTCTAAGTCTCATGTTCGATTTGTTTCACGTTTTCATCAATTTTTCCTTTCGTTGATTGTTTGGAATGATCGCTCTGGTTTAATTTAACTTGTATGTTTTATCTGTAATTTTTAATTATTTTTTATTTTGGTTCAGTTTATGTGTCTTGGGCAATACTCCATTTGTATTGTGGTAGGTAATTAATTGTTTTTTGCATCAGTTTCTAGTTTAACAAATCTTTAGAAATTTTTAGTGAATAAACTTTACGAATGAAATCTTCCATAGATAAATGGAATTAATGCAGTACGTTTATTTGTTCACAGATTCTGTTGTGATTCATAATTTCTTACTTATTTATCTGCTTAATGAAAAATGATCTGAAAAATAATTTTTCATTCTCACCAGTTACTGTGATTTATCGAAATACTAAACGTAGCCCACGTTTAGACATGGTTTGTTTCATTTTCTTCGTATTTGTTATGTCTCAAAAACTTCCTGTACAATATGAATTTTTATTGTTGAAATCACTTCCCTGTTATCTTTATTTTTACTATAGAGCGTAGTATGGAGAATGTACATCCACCACAACATTGTCCTAAGTATCCTATGGATTTAAATACACAATCAAGCAAGAAACACATTAAGTCACCTACTGAACTGCCTTTCGGTCAGCTTATTGTTGATACTTCCTCCAACTCAAACATTTATTCGTCTAAGCCGAGTTGCAGTATCATAAATGAAGTTTCTAACACAACATCTGCAGCAATGAATTCTCATTTATGTAAACAATATAATACTCTTTCATCCCAAGAAATGGATGGTCACAATGAGGCATCAAATCAAAGTGAACAGAAAACTTCTGATATGAGTGAATCCAGGAGTAGTAGTATAGCGAGCTCGTCTCCCAGAATGTTTTCAGGAATGGATAATGCATGCGGTTCTGGTCACAGGTGTCGTACACCAAGTACTATAGCATATACCCACAGCTCTGCCATGGAAGATAATGATGAAGATTACCCTGATGTCAACTCCAGTCGTCGACATGATGCCAACCTAGATGCTGATTCTGTTTCTGACTCTTCAGAAGTGAAATCTTGTTCTGCCTTCACAGATCCCGAAGCACCGGAAATAGACGACTTCGGTTCCTTTTCACCGTCTTCGTTGTCTTCTATCACTGATGAAGTGGCCACTATTTTTTCTGATGAATACGAAGTTGAACACTCTCGCCAATCCGATTACTCTACAACAACTGTTCTCCATCAGTTTACAAATCGTTTAAGCAAAATTTTACGACGTGTTGAAGAACTTGATTTACTTCAGTTAGCAGCTGTTGTTCAAAGCAAACTTGGTACAGTTTACAAAAGGAGTTCCTCTGATCAAGAGGATAGTGATGAATCATATGCACGCAATAATGTTTCATCCACTTTACCCGATTCAGCTCGTTTAACTAAACAAGAAATCATATCATTATGCTGCGATTCAGCTAAAATCCGATTCGCTGGATCCATGTCAACTATACCAACAGGTCGCTTGGTTCGATTTCTAACTTTACTGTTGGTTAATATGCAAGAAGCTGCATCCGTTTCTCCAAATATTTCAAACGTTGTAAGTTGGTTTCCGTGCATATTCTTGTCGCTACCATTCCATAACATGTTAAATTTGTGGAAACTGTTGTCTAATCTAGATTTACTGATATCGTTGTTTTGTTTTGACAAACATTTAAGTCATCATCTCCCATGTCTTTCAGGATGAAGTTTGTTCGCTTTTTACTTGATTCCAGAGCATGTTCACAATCGGCACTGTAGGTCATCGAAAACTAGTGGATATATATGCTCTAAAATGTTTCTTTCTAATTAAACTTCAAATAAGTTGAAAATACGCTAATCCACTCCTTAAATTTTTAAGTAGTTCATAGACCTAAAAACCTAGATTATCGCTGCTACCTTGACGTGGTTATCGGGCTTCCCTATCGCGATTACCCAACCGAGCTATATTGGCTGGAACACATGATCGGACTCAAGCAGTTGTCCCTAAAGCTGTGGTCACGCTCGCGGGTAACTAAGACCAACACTAATCCAACGTCGTTCTCACGTTCCTCAAGAAACACCCTTCCACAGTCTGGACAGTCTGGAAGCGCTAAACGCTGTCATACTTCTAACAGCACACGAGATCAACCCTCTCACAATAAAATCCTTCCTACACCTCCTAATAACACTCTTATTTGCACGAATAACCCTTCTAATGTTCCTTTATCACCTGGAGCCGCTAATGCTAGCGATTTACATACACGAAAATTTATTACTGTTCTCCTGGAACCACCGCCATCTCGCGACATCGATGTACGCCATCTCCGAAACGCGCATCCCGGATCCGAAAACAGTCATTCATTTGACCTCGTCATATCAAAATAAAGAACCATCGCGATTTACGCTTCGTATATCCGCAAGCCGCACTGCTGCTTCTCATGGCCTCTCTGGTGTAGGTACAGCAATAATTCTAAAGCACAAATAGTTCTCTTAGACTGGATTCAAGTCGATAGTCGCTTGTGCGCTGATGAGTGGAACGTTTTGGGAGCACTTTACCCGTCTCCGGCCACACTTCAGTTACCCACGATTCCTGGCCAACCTGAGCGACAGTTTAATGTCAGTCTTCTAACTCTTAATGGGGTTGAGTTCGCAGTAGGCAATCGATTGCAGGGTATAGCGGCAGGACTTAATTGGCCAATCGCTGGAATTTCTAAGAATATTTTTCCCGGTTTATCAATTGGATTAGCTCAGATCTTAGCTAGAATACGTAAACTGGACGGTATCCTATCCGACCGGTCTCAATTACTGACTGTCCCGTTGTATAGAAAAGAAAAACGTCCTGTTGTGGCAATCACACAGATATCAGTTTAACGAACATAGTGTCCAAAACATAATACATGTCGACAGGTCCTAGAACACAAACATACATTTCGGCGTCCGAAAATAGTTGTCGTTCGAGGACTTTAACCGGCTTTTGACAATGTCGGTCGTGAGGTTCTCTTACAGTGTCTGTCATTAATAAATGTACCAAAGAAGTACATTAACCTACCACAAGCTCTCTACTCGAACACTATCTGTCCAGTTAGATCATATGGCGGATTTTCATCAGAACTGATTACTTCAAGCTGTGTTCGCCATGGTTGTTCACTTTCTCCATTCTTACTGAACTTTGTGACTGACATGGTTTTGGCGATAACACCATCTTCGTTTGAATTTTCAGGAGTTGAACTTTTACCAGGAAATTCACTTGTTGACTTATATTATGTCGATGGCATAGTTCTACTTGGTGAGTACGCTGACAAAATGCAGAGTCATTTGAACACAAGCATGTTCGGGATGCGATTCTCCCCCTCGGAATGCAAAATGTAGCTTCAGGTTTGGGTTGCATCAGTACCTGAACTGGTTATAGAGAGTGAGGCGGTTGAGCATGTTGACTGCTTCACTTATTCGGAGTCTCATCAGTGCTGACGGCCTGGTGACTGACTAAATCCCAGCACGAATGCAGAAGGCTCGACTGGCTTTTGTCAACATGCAGACTGTTGAACGATTCTACTGCGCAGCAGTTCGCTCTTGGGGCAACCGATTAAGCAATGCTGTTGTTAGTATACGGGTACTCGGTAAGGATAGCAGATCAGTAGATGATATATTGAAACTTCATCAATTGAGGTGGTTGGGTCAGGTATTACGTATGCCCCACTACCGACTGCCTCGACGAGCGATGATGCCTGGTATAGGGGTAGGCTGGAGGGTATTTAGGGGCGGTCAGACCAAAACATGGCAGAAATCCATGAAATCAGTAATAAGTTGACTGAGTCATGTTGGTAGGTGTAGACTACCTGGTTGTGGTCTGCGAGATGGTAGTAACCGATGGTTAGAAGAGACCTTGAATGACATGGCTCGAAATCGTCTGCGATGGCGCAGGTGCATTTATTCTTTGTGTTCTCTGAAATTCTAGTCGGAATTCCTCATCACCTCTATTTTTCTCTTTTCGAATTTATTTGACAGGATAATATTTTTTGAATATTATCTTCGAACCCTAATGTTCTCCATTACCGCTAATAATTCTACTATCTCTACCATTATTGAATTTGAACTGACGATAGCGTTTCTGTGCTGATGTGGTATGGCAACTTGAACTGATGTACATATGCACGAACTTCTACATTGTTGCTGACTGTCTCACTGCGGAATGTGTTTTAATGTTTGAAAAAATTTCGCTCTATTATTTCTAATTTCCAGTTCGGAGTGTTGTAATGATCTTACATATATTGGTTTAGCTCAGATGTCCTTTATTACGCACTATTTTGTATCTTTTTCATCTTCTTTTGCAATCAATTATTGTTCTGAGTAAAAATCATTCAAAAAACGTAAGTAGTTTATTACAGAAGAAAGAATGATCTCATAACATGATCATTACAGTCCGCGAATTTATCAGAAAAGTGCCCCTTTCCGGCTCTATCTGTTTTTTAGCTGAATACCAAATAAATGTTTCTTTTTACTAAAAAAAGTCTTGCTTCAGATTATCTACTTTTTTGAGATACCATCAGAATAACGTATATGCAAGTAAAGTTAATACTTTAAGAGAAAATGGTCCTATGAAATCAGTTTACTAAAATCTTCGAATCTTTAAGGTAAAATTGCTACAATTTTATCTTGTTGTTGAATAATCGTTGTTATTATTTGACTATAGGCTGAAGCACATCGAAATTCCAAGAAACGTCATAAGCATCATCGCGAACAACCTGGAATCAGTGATAATCCTTCGAATCAGGATAATTATTTTACGGAAATGGTATTATGGTCTGATCCAGAGTGGTCTTCTTCTCTCATTGGTTTAGATTGCGCTCGTACAGCTTTAAATATAATTGTTGGTCCAGATATGCCGCGTCCTTTACTCATGGAGGATTTGATTGAATGCATTGTATCTGTGGTGAAGCATCAACTAGACTGTCTAATTCATAATATCATGAGTAAGTCTCTAGTTTTCCTAATATTACTACTTTCTCATTTCTCTGTACTTTACAAGTTCTGAATTCTCAAATCAACCTTATCTATCTTGTGAATATAATCCCAGATGATAAATTATGTATAGGTAACCCAGATAGTTTTGGCTTGCTTTTCAGTTGTATCAGACATAACATGTATCTACATTGTTTTCTTTCCGGTGAAGTTGTATGTGACACTCAACAGGTTGTAAATGTCATTGCTACTTTGGTTACATCGAATGTCTGGTCTCTTAAAATGTTATCCTTGAATTTGTTTAATGAAATGATTGGTTACCTTCAGTTTTCTTTTTTTTTCATTACATATTATTATGTTGTCACCTTTTTGTTATTTGAATGTTGCCCACTGTTGGAATGATGGTCAGTAATATTTATAATATTATTAAAAGTCGTTCATTCAATGCATTTCTGCAATCAATATAACTTTATCGTTAATATGTATCATTCTCTTTTAAATGATTATTTATGTTTAATATTCTGCGTATCCATGCTTATTTCTAGGTACGTATCGGTCAATCAAACTCGTGAACTGTATAATTGTGTATTTCAGCACTTTAGTAGAGGTTTTGTGTACACGCATAACATAATTTCTAATCGTTCAATTCTTCTACTTTGTATCACACGTGTGTTAAATATTCCTGAAGATTTCTGTTTTTGATTTACGATCGTATTATTAACATCTAAATCAATCTCCGAATTAATCACATGCATTTATATTTTAAATTGCAGGAGTTACTTCTCATGCACCGCATTATCAAAATTCATCTGTGTCATCAAGTTTTTCAATACTGGGTCATGTTGGTTACCGAATAACACAAATTATGGCTTTACTAGTGAATCTTATGCGTTTGCAGCCCAATCGTTTTACAGATAATTTAGTAATCAGTCTTACTTCACTCGGTATGGCCGTCCCTTCTTATTCTTTAACATCAGGAACCAGTATAACTAATGAATGGAAACGATTTCTACTCTCTCCACAGAAACTATTCAACATGATAAGTCATACTGAAATTTTTTCGGAATTGATGGGTTCTTCAGCAAAAACACTTGGTACTTTGTTTGTGGTTAGTTGGCCAGAACACCTACAACGCTCAAGTCTTTCGCTATTGGGCACTCTTTATGGACAATATGAAGCTCATAGAAAAATGATTGTTGATGAAATATTTCGCACATTTTTATCAGGTCTTGATGTCAAGCGGAAATCAATCGGTGTCAGTACGGAGACTGAAAAAATAGTATACTCATCTGATAGGCGGACTGCTAAAACTTTCCGGTATGTTTCTTATGCGTTTTAGAGTTTATTTCATGTTAGAATGAAATGCCAACAATTCTCGTATTCTTTTTATAGTTTGCGGCTGCTTATCTCATGAAACCCTCATAGGTGAATAATATGTTTGGCTATGTTCTCACACTAACCAATATGCAGACGACCTTTTGAGTTACCAATGGGAAACGAGGACTAGAGACTTACTACTCTATACCTAAAGAGCGGTACAGTACTAACTTACCCTAACTAAGAAGGAAAAACAAAGAACAATGACCACCAGTCCGAGATTTTTATCATAATCCAGACATCCATGTCTATACATACAAACCCAGACCACGCAGCAGACCAAATGAGTATCAATGCTGACAGGGAAGAACAGCATTAATGTTCGGCGAATCGGAGTAATGTGAACACAAACAATCCGCTCTGCTTCATCAATCAAAAATGATATAGAACTAATTTACTGTTCAAATAAAAGCTAAGAATTAGAGTAATCCAAAAATAATATCTAATAATCTAATAAATATGCAATCACTTTTTACACCTAAGACCGTAGCATAATAGCTTCCAAAGTTTGTTACCTAGTCGTTCGCAACATGTTTCAATCCAGTTTAGTAATGATTGAAAGTGTATGGATAAACGGGCCACACTTTCTTTGTGTATTGTTATCAAATCAGACACATACCATCAACATAGAGCCTAACGCTGGTGTGTGTTGGTCCAAGTTTCCATACCTAACTCATTATGCTATGTTCCTTTGAAAGAAGAGTTAACTGTTTTTTTCTTTACTATCTGCCTGTGAAGCTACCTTCGTTTTCAAATGATATCCGCACACTATTTTTGTTATTCTTATTCATCTTTGTTTAGCCGCTTTACCAAAATCTTTTTTGAATTGCGACTCCTACAGGTTGTTATCATCTTCATATTTCTATGAAGAATATTACGGCTCCAAAGCGAAATCTAATGGGTCTCATGCAATCCATGGTGAATCTCCACAATTTTTGTACATCCATGCACTAAGTGCCCTATTCCTTTGTATCACCCAAGGTTTAATTCATACACCGAACTTATCTTTGCCTGCAAACAACTGTTCTAATCCATTTGTTCGCAGATTTCCTTCGTCTGCTATATCTACTCCAACACAAAGTTCATTTGTTTCCGAAGCTGCTACAATAGATAATGCACAATTCAGTAAAGATGAAAAACATGTACTGAGCAGTTACAGTACAGCTATTAGGCATGCACATTACTTGTTATCTGGTTTATTTAAAAGGTAGGTGAATAACTTTAAATAAATACTTTCTGTTGTTTCCAGTAAACTGGACTAATATTTTTTAATAAATTAATGTGATCAACTCATTGGTGTATACTAAATGTCTTTTCTCAGTAATACTCTTTCCGAGTTATTCTAATTTTTCAGTTTAAGTACCAGTTACGAGAATTCGACATCTTAGTTCACTATTTGAAACGAGACGATAAGATGCCCCGTGCATGCATTATATGCTAATCAGAATTTTTCAGAATGACGTATCCGGAATCGTGATGGACCTTGTTGTTATGATGTACGGTGTCCAAGATGTGAACGCAAAACTTACTAACCTCTCAAACTGGCTACTTGAGCGAAAAGGCGAAAGTGGAAAAGTCTTTTTGAGTACTGAATTAAATACACAAATACTCATTTATATAGACACATATCTTTCGAAAATGAATTCATTTCGTCACCAATGACATTCATTCGTCCTTTAGGACATTTTTGTGATCTGCACCGAATGATCTTCCCGTTCGGCCACCTTTGATTGTTTCTATACTTTATTTATAACCCCTTCTCATCACTTAGTGTCACCCCTTAGCTTTTCTGTTTGAAATATATTAGCCAATTAACCTATATTAACAAGAGTTGTATTATTTATTCAGTTGTCATCCTTCCGCAGTTATAATAATTTTGAGGAACGTTTACTTTTGCTAACAAAATACACTGAGTAAAGTCGAGTTGTATTGTTCGCTTCGTCAGGAGAACGACGAACAAGTAACGGAGCAGTGTTTCGGGTGTTTTATTGTAACAAATGTGAACAGGTGTGAAAATTCACAATTGTTTTAAGTGTTCTGGTGTCATAAACAGGTCACAGTAGTTTGAGTCGACCACAACGCACCAGTAACTGTTTCTTGTGTTTGTTCCAAATACTTTTTTATCTACTTCACCTATTTTTTTTGTAGGGTTAGTTTGAAAGCTGAATACGATATACGATCTGTATTGGAGACAGTTACAAATGATTTATTAAGCGTTACTTTTCATGCTCCAATAGAATGGCCAGCCTCAGCTGTTCTACTCAATGTGCTTAGTAGTCTTTTAATTCAACAATTGAATCAACCAAATCAAAACGCTACAATTTCGGTTAACTCTGCTACTTCACGTTCACGCAATACTGAGTTATATGGTAAACTTGTGGCTGTTGATACCCTTGCATCATTGATTGTTGGTTTAAAACGTGGAGCTAAGGTCTATAATCTGGATTTACCGTCTTCATCATCCATTCAGAAGATAAATCTTTCTGACTTAGATGACGCTAAAGATAATTGTTTGAAAACGAATAAATGTCAAACACGTTTAATTGGATTATTGTCATCCCCAATCCCCATAATTCATCACTGGTATTTTTCATTCCGTGATATCCTTCAAACGAGTAATCAGAACGATGACTCTAATTTCGCCGAAATTCGGGAAAGATTAAATCTGGAACAAAATATGATTTATTTACCAGATCTTTGTTCGAAATACTATGATCTTCTTCTTCTAGTAAGCTTATTTTGCTTTTCATATTTTTTTAGCCTCCCAAACTACTCGTTAAGACCAGATAATTTTTTGTGATTTTAAACATATTAATAGTCCAAGCCGCAGTATCAACAGATGGAACAGGCTTACAATTCCATCTACCAACCTAAGTTTCTGTAATTTATTTGCGTTTTAATTCCGAAGTCTATTTATTTCTATTTATGGTCCCTTAAGCTACTTGCCGATAAAGTATTGTTGCTGCAGTAAACCTTATGATAAAGTTAATGGCTTTATTTCATAGATTGTTTCAGTAAAAATCTTTTTCAGATCTGTTATAATAGTACAGTATATCGTACCAAAACATATGATCTCTGGAGCAGGGCATTGTAATTATGATGTTCGACTTTCGGCCACTTAGTTTCAAGTTTGAATCTTGTCTCGCTATCTTCTATTTGGTTAGCCAGGTAAATCACTATCTGTCTTATCCAGTTTGGCTCATACACTAGCTGTTTGGTGATATAGTTGAGAAATGATTCGAAATTTTGCTATCAAAACTTAATAGAGCCTTTTAGTTTATTCTGTTGTTGCACCTTTAACTCGGACAATTTCCTAATTCCAGAATGCTCACAGATTTCATCTTGCTGCCTGGCTTCACAATTGTAACAGGAACATTTCGGTCGCAAATTTAGATATTTCTACGGGGAATACAAAAGATCAGTCCACGAATTCTATGAAAAACAACGCTAGTGTAGAGAAGCTTCGACATCAGTTATTAGCTGAATTTACGCTCACACATTTAAACGCATCAATATCTGTTCCTGGTTTTCCGTTCACTAAACAAAACACATCATCACTTGCTACAACTTGTCCAGTATGCCCTAATTCGTTACAACATTTGTCCTCACGAAGTCGCGCAAACTGTGCATGTTGTTCCGGCATAGGATGGGGAGGCTCATTTTTAGCTCAGTCTATGTCATCTCAACGTTTCCTTACATATTCTCACATACCAAAGCTATGCAGTAACATGCGACTTCGTCTAGTTGCACATGCTCATATATCTGCGGTTTATCTTCTTGGTGCTCATGCAGTTTTGCCGAATTTCGATGTACTTTATGGTTTCATTTGTAAAGTAAGTAAGCGCAAATATAAATTCAAAGTAGATTTTATTTACTATTTTTCACTTTATAAACGTAAAGTTGTGTATCTGATAGACTTTTATATTCCTTCTGATAATTCTCTAGTTCAAGTTTAATCACCCGAGCACTAATACTTATTCTAACTGCCATCCTAATCTTTCCCACTTTGTCCATTCATTTATTCATTATTGTCATGTTATTGGATCAATCGGCATGAAATTTCCTTTCCTTATTTTCGTAGTTAGTTAATTAAAAGACAATGTAGGACGTCCTTTAAATTGATAAAATATTAAGTTTCATTGTATGATTATAAAGCTGGGTACACAAAGATATACCTAGTGAATAAATTGATTGTAATTCTTTAATTCAAGAAAAATCCATCTTATTAACTAATCTATCTAACTTTTGGTTATCCAGTTGCTTGTTATTACATGTCATTTCTCGTTATAAAGTTATAAAGATTATTGAGTTTCACTGAAGTTATGAATCGATCATTTTGAGACCATTATTAGAAACGTGGAAGCACTGGATGGCCGTCTCGTCCTAGTATGGCACTCATCAGCATTGTGCATCCGCGAACTCAGGACTTTCGGTTTCGGGCGCGAACACTTAACCTCTAGACCACTGAGCCGGTATCCAACGGTGTTAATGTTTAACTTTAATCAGTCCGAGTTGTTGCGCAACCTTACCCATAGTCTTCAGTGGGTAAGTGCTTACACATAACAGGGTTGGACTCCACTGGTCATGTTTTCTCATCAGAACTCCGAGAATTTCCTCATAAAGGTAGTAACTAGTAAGCACGACACGTGTTAGTTCTCGACAACATTTCTGAAATATAATTTGCTGCGACGTGATTGATTGTGATCACTTTTAGTTTATTATCTTCCTCATGCGCTCAGGGTTATTGATTATGAATCTAAAAAGTACTGTCAATGTGACTTGTTTAAAGTGAACATTTTCAGACACCATCTATTTTGATAAACGACCTTGTTGCACTTACCTGTTACACAGTTTACATTTGAAATTCGTGCTAATATTGACCTTTTAGGATAATAAAATGTTAAGATTAGTGTCCTTTGGTAGTGAACCTCTGGGTTGTTTTGGAACCCCTAACCTTTATAAAAGCTAACTCATGACCGTTAGGTTTTCCTATCTCAGTGAGCTTTTTAATCGATAGTGACGTTATATGCAAATCAGAAACATGAAGATAGTTGAATATTGTGACTGACTTCGGAATCGTAGAACACTAAATCGCATTAGGAGTAAATGTTACCTGCGAGTTCTCAAGATCGTTTGGTTCTTACTTTACACCAGAGAAACTTAAATTGTGACAAAATAACTTATTGGTTCTCCGTATTTTTGTAATTTCTCTCGTTTATGTCGGTTCTTAATGAAAATTATTTCCAAATATATGATATACAAAAACGATGTTTTCCAGATTATCCCTATTTGTTGATGTTCTGCCCATGTTTTTTCACTTTTAGTTAGCTGGGGAGTCGTCAGTACCTATGAGGTCTAAAGCGTTACGTTGTCTTGCTTTAGTTATTGATGCTGATCCAAAGTTAATGTCTATGAACAGAGATACTAAAGACACTAAATACAAAGCCACGATTTCATCAAGTCCAATTTTTGATATCTCCAACATTGTTCGCGCACGTTTATTGGACAACTCCACTACCGTTCGTGAAGCAGCTGTTGACTTGATCAGTCGATTCTTGACTTTACGTCCACAATTCATATCTGAATACTATTCTGTTATTGTGGAACGTGTTTTAGATAAGGGTGTCAGTGTACGAAAACGAGTTATCCGTTGCTTTCGTGATCTGTTGCTCAATGATTGGAATAAATTTTTAGAATCATCACATTCTAATTCTGATCGACACCGTTTCTCTTTAATTGGAAATCAATTGTGTACAGATATTTGTCTGAAGCTTATTCGTCGACTTCATGATGAAAACAGCATTCAGGTAAGTTTATTATATATATATATATATATATATATATATATATATATATATATCGATTTTTTAACCGACTACGACTTCTAGCATTATTCTGTATAAAAAATGTCTTGAGATGTTTTTCTAAGATGCTTCTGCTTTTCACTAACCTTCTAATTGTTTTTCTTATTTAAAGAAATTGATAACTGAAGCTTTCCAAGAATTATGGCTGACTCCAATATCGAAATCACATTCTCGTTTCTCGAAGGTTCTTGACAGGCGCATCTTGAGTTTAGCATCAGTGACTATTACTCTTAGACCGAACAACTTTGATCTGTTGGACACGTTCATTGTTCAGGTAAGTTAGGATCAGATTCAAAATAGTTGCAATTAAATCCCACCATTATTAGGCCAACGTAAAAATCATTAACATTTTTCATTACCGTGAAAAACACTAAGAATCTCTTGCTTTTGTTTAGGATCTATCTTCAGGAGACTCACGTCCTTCAGTGTCCCAATTTGATGCTGCGTGCAAGCAGATTATTGGCCGTCTGATTGTTTTAATCAAGAGGCGTATAGGTAAGCTTGATTGTGTTATATATATATTCTTTGTATACTTATTAATGAATGATTAACTTGATTATATGCTGAACAACCTTTAAATGTCAGTGTCTGTCATTAAAAGGTATACCAAAGAAGTACATTAACCTTATACAAGCTCTCTACTCGAACACCACTGGTCGAGTAAGAGCCTATGGCGAACTGTCACCGGAATTCTTCACTTCAAATGGTGTGCGTCAGTGATTTCAACTCTCTCCATTCTTGTTTAATTTTATCATAGACATGCTCCTAGATATGACCGTATCCTTACTCCTGACTTTTCAGGAGTAGACCTTTTACCACAAGCTTGCTTATCGACTTAGAATATACCGATGACATAGTCCTACTTGGTGAAGACGCTGACGAAATCCAGAATCTTCTGACCACCCTAAGCAACAATGCAAGCATGTTCGGGATGCGGTTCTCACCCTCGAAATGCAAAACGTTGCTTCAAGATTGGGTTGCATTGGCACCTGAACTAGTGATAGGGAGTGAAGTAGTTGAGCGTGTAGACCGCTTCACTTAACTGGGGAGTCTCATCAGTGCTGATGGCCTGGTGACTGACGAAATCTCAGCTCGGATACAGAAAGCTCGATTGGCTTTTGCCAATTCGCGTCACTTATGGCGCAGGCGAGATATCCGTCTGCTCACCAAAGGAAGAGTGTACTGTGTAGCAGTTCGCTCCGTCCTACTACACAGACGTGAAACATGGCCGTTAAAAGTAGAGGACTTTCGTAGGTTACTAGTCTCTGATCATCAGTGTCTCCTAATCATTGCTCGTATATCCTGGGACAACCGAATAAACAATGCTATCGTTAGGAAACGAGTTCTAAGTAAGGATGGCAAATCAATAGATGAAGTAATGAAACTTCATCAGTTGAGGTGGTTGAGACATGTATTACGAATGCCTAACCACTGACTGCCGCGACGAACCATGTTTTGTGGTGTAGGAGTGGGTTGGAAGAAAGCTAGGGGCGGCCAAACCAAAACATGGCAGAAATCCATGAAGTCACTGACAAGTGGACTGAGTCATGTTGGTAGATGTAGGCTATCTGGTTGGGGTCCGCGAGACGAAAGTCTCCAATGGTTAGAGACTCTGAACGACATGGCTCAGAATCGTTTGCGATGGCGCAGGTGCATCCACTCTTTGTGTGCCTTTTAATGCGAACCTTCGGAATTCCTCATAATCTCTCTCTTTCTCCTTCTAAATTTATCTTACTGAATTATACTTCTTGAATAATATCTTCAAACTTCTACTATCTTTATCACTATGGGATTTAATTTGACATTTGCGTCTCTGTGCTAATGTGGTATGGCAACATGATCTTATGTACATACGAACGAAGTTCTAAGTTGCAACTGACTGATTTACTAACTGTAACTTTGTGATATATATACATCAAAAAAGGTAGATGGAATTGTAAGCCTGTTCCATCTGTTGATACTGCGGCTTGGACTATTAATATGTTTAAAATCACAAAAAATTATCTGGTCTTAATGAGTAATTTGGGACTTTAGTTGATCTCTTATTATATATTTTATATTTATTTGTTTACCGTGGCCGGATAATGTAGGTCCTTTACTGGTTCCAAGTTCCAAACATCTAGTGAAGCAAAGTCACTCAACGGAATTTCGGACATCAAATTCACTGTCTTTTCTTTCGAATATGCATGGTCTTATGGCTTGCTTACATCTGGTTAGTTATAGCAAACCTAATCTTGTTCGCCCACACGTTGGGTTTTTAATGGATCTTTTGCATAAAATATGTCTTTCTATTCCTGGAACACTAACTAAAACCGGTCAAATAGAAAATCAAATGAAACCAGCAAATACTCAGTTCCTCTATCACTTAATCAATGTTGTCGAAATTGTACTCACAGAAATAGCAAGCAACCTAAAAGATTCAGATAGTCCTCCTATGGAAGAAGCCATGTTTGCCGGTGTACCGTAAGTTTTTTGGATGTAATTTGTGTTACTTAGGTTTATACAAGTACTTTTTGCTTTGTTTAATGAAAGTTGGATATTCTTGTAAGGAAAAGAACAAATAAAGCCCCAAAGTTATGATTTAATCTCGTAATTAGCTAACAAGAATCAAACAGATTTTCCTACGGAATTATATCCATAAACCTGTTGGAGCTTTTACGTTCTTTACTCCGTATTGATAGATAACTTAGTATCTCCTACGTCCTCATCCTGAGCTAAAGATATTCTTCGTCATCTTATATATATGCTGTCGCCATTTTTATATATTTGTTAATTTGAGGCAGTGAAGGTCCACGGTTGTTCGTCTGAAAGCAAAATTTGCTAACTTTGGGACAATCACTATTCCTATTGATTTCCGACAGTGCTAGATAATTGTTTGTCATATATTATAATCTAGTAAGCCATCACAGTTTTACCACTACATAAGTTAGATGAGTTTAGAGCATTAGTCTCGTTGTTGATATTTTGTTACTGAAATTAAATTTATGTTTGCGTTGTGTTTCTATCAGTAAATCAGCCATAAATATTTGAATTTTTAAAACCAAGTACTGTAAATTCAATACTTTTTTACATCCCTCTTGATTTTTGTATATAATGCGTTCCGTAACTTGGTATTACTTAGAAGCTATTCTAAGAAGCATTTTTGAAATCCGATTTTATGTATTTAGTTGCTGACTAACCTTATCTTCCCAGTATTGTATTTGGTCTCAATTAGTCATAATCAACATATAGTCTGCGATAAATGTTATTGAAATGTAATTAACAAAATGAATAGCAAAAAAGCCGAAATAGTAGTAACGTCATTGTCTGCTGCTCATATTAATATCTTCGAAGTAGCATTCGTATTTATATTCTAACATGGGTCAGAAACGTATGAAAACAAAAAGTGTAGTAGTAAAAGATTTGTACTCAGATTACCAGAAAGACCACTATACATTATAAATATGGATATGGATATGGACACAGATAAATTAAGTGTTGTAGGAACCGGTAGGATGTAAGTTGAAATGAATTACGGATATGTAGTCTGAGTAGGTTGTTTTCGATCGTAGGTGCCTCCAAATCATTGCTCGATTATCGTGAGACAACCTAGTGAGCACTACCCGACCGTAGCTGCTACCTTGATGTTGTGGTTGAACTTGCATATCGTGATGACCTAACCGAGCTATATTGGCTGGAACATATGTTCTTGTAGATCCTACCATGCCAGGCCGGTCGATTGGAGAACGATCAGGCTAAAAGTAGCTACTCAAGGTCTGAGGGCGAAGTCGTATTGCTGACTGCAGAGGGGTGTGACATCAGTAAGGTGTTTCCCTCGGACAACCAGCATCTGCAGCGATGCTGCCTTCTCACAAAGAAGGAAGGGTTAGGAAAGGTCGACCCTAAAAATGTCACACCTCACTCTACCTCACGGATTTCCTTCTCCGACGGTAAGGGCTAACCACTAAGGACTTTTAATAGAGGAACTAATACTCAAATATCCTTTCATCAAAAGGCCGTGCGTGACTGGCCTCAAGCAGTTGTTCCTTGGACTCTGCGGTCACGCTCCCAGGTTGTTAAGACCAACACTAATCTACCTTCCTTTGTAGGTATGTCATGGCTCGAAATCGTTTGCAGTGATGCAGCTGCATTCATTCTCTGTGCTCTCTCAAATCCTGACCTTCAGATTTCCTCGTCACCCTCATGTTTTTCTTTTTAAGTTTATCTCATTAGATTCTACTTCTTGAAAAATGTTTCCGAACCCTAAACTCTCCGATTACTTCTAATACTTTTACTGTACTACTATGGAACTTGAAGTGACAATTGCATCTCTGTTCTAATGTGGTATGGCAACTTGAACTGGTGTACGTACGTACGTAGTTCTGTGTTGTTGTTTACTTGACTTGACTTGCAGAAGATGCGGCAATCTTTTTTGAAACTCCGTCGTTGGCTGTAAACGATATAGTTTCCTTGTGTTCATCATTATGGTAATGTTGGTATTCACCTAGTAAGACAATATCTCTCATGAATAAAGTTGATACTTGCCAGGGTTAAACAACTCTGAGGTGAATTGTAGTAGCTGATCATTACTATCTACGAACCATAACGCCTAAAGATTAATCTAGCTACTGCTTCGATTATCCAACATACTTAGATGTCAAATCGTGTACTCTGATCACATGGCTTTTGAAAGGTATTCAAAGAGTTTCCTGAGCTGCAATCGGTGGGAGCGTGCACGTAGATGTAAAGGCAACAGTGTGTATCTCTATCTCTCACTTCTCACTGTGATTTAATCAGGAGTTTGTTTGACAGAAATCTATTCTGGAAGTGCTTCTTATGCTATTAAATTTAATGCTTAGAATCGTTGTAGGAAGGCAGTATCACTAAATGTACTATTTATAAGCTATTGGGTTAAAAAAATGTTTTATTTCTACTTCTGTAACAAAATGGTACCTTACGTTTTGATTATCTGTAACCTGTTTAGTTTTCTTAACAAATATCCATTTAGTCATAATGTATTTATATGCAAATGTTTTTCTTAGGCGTACTAACTTCTTTCAGTTACAAAATGATTTACTGCAATTAGTTCAACGTCAAGGTCGTTTGGTTGTTGATTCAGCTTTATCGTGCTTAGCGGTTCTTGTTAATCAAGTTTTAAAAGATCAAACTCAAGTCATACGTTGCTTCGCACAATTCTATGGTATGCATTTTACATAGTTATCTGTTCATCAGATAATTGTTTGTTTGATTATTGTTTGTGACCTCGCCGATAAGACTTAGCTACCTTAAAGCCTAGTTTTCTTTGAACACTGTATAACAATCACAACACGGATTGATCAAGTAGATAATTATATATGAATGCAAAGAAAATCAAAACGTCAGCATATTGATATTTTTTTACGTGAAAAACCCTTGAATATTCTCTAGCTATCGGTTAGCTTAGAATGGATAAGAATGTGCCAATATTTGTGCCCAAACTCAATCTTTCATCGGACCTGCTTCATTTCAATCTGCGTCTTAGTAACTGTTACAATGGTGTCGTTTCGCTCTCTTAGTTTTGATTGTTCCTATGAACAACATTATTAACACAAACTTCAGGTCTGCCAATTTCTCCATGGTTGACTCGTATCTCCAGTTGACCTTGGTCTTGATTAGTCGTTATTTACTTTTAACCGGTCATTATCTGCTTCTTTATTCTGATTGTATCCCCTTCTGATTTGGTCCTGATCAAATGCTTGTCTATGATTTTTCTGTTTAGTTGATAAATTGGAACAACTTGTTCACGTCTGTTCTCACCAATGGAGCATAGTCCACCTACCAGTAGTCGCCAACTTACTCTGTCCTGGACTTCTGTTACACCTGCACGTGAACACGTCATTTTGATATGCTTGAACTATTACGAGTTTACCTAGTCGGAAAACGAGGGCGAGGATTGAGGATCCGGCGACGCGACATGCTACCCAAATCCGATTATCCCAACCCCCCATATCGATTGAAAATAAGAATACTTGATTGTGGAGTAGAACCTGTATTCTACAAGCATCCATAAAGTACCGGGGCCGAGTCCAGAAGAGAATCAGGATCCCGGACCAGGGATCCGGTACCGGGTCTTGGTCATAAAACGTTACAGATAATGCGTATTTATACATTTTGGTCGAATAGGAAACAGCATCGAGGTCTGTGACATTGACAATTAAGACGACTAATAGGAAGCAACATTTGAACGACATTGGAGCACGTGACATTGATATCTAGGACGACCATAAAATTGACCAGTAGGAATTGATCAATAATTCTCTTAGGATATTGAATGAATATCCTTACAACTTCCCTTTCCAATTCTGTCTAATTTTTGTTCCTTCTCATGTCTGTCTCCATTTCTTGGCGTAGTGCTTTCCTCGGCCTTCCTCCTTTCTTTTTCAAATGCTGCCTTAAGCCCTAGGAGGACACATATTTCCGGACGCGGAAATGTGTGTATGTGTTCTAGTCCTTAACGAAGTGTGAATATGCTATCTAAACATCCACGCCGATGTCTGGAACCAGCCTGGTTTTCTCTAGTCTGCTCTTCACAAGTTCTAATTAGGCGTCCAAGTATTATCTCATCTAACATTTTAGACGCAATATTAGTTAGATTGATTACTCTGTGAATGTCACTAGAGGACATTTGCCTTTCATATAAACTGGGACAATCAATTATTGAGACCAGTCAGATGACATTTCGTTCAGTTCCCAGATTTTACTCAATATCTCAGTCTATCTCACTGCTTAAACTGAACCACCATACTTAAAAATCTCAGAGGTCAATTGATTAGAGCCCTCTGTTCTCTCGTGCCTTCGATTTCCTTTAGCTTTTTCAACTTCACCAATAAATACGAAGTATTATTCGTCTTTGCTTGCATTTGTTGTTGCGTGTGTGGCGGAAGAGCCAGATCATCTGAGAAAAGTCCAGCTAGTACAGGTACATCCTATCTGTTGGCTGTATCCCGTGCTTCTGTCCAGATGTTGACATTTTCATGATTCAGTCTATCACCAGGGGGAAGAGAAAGGGTGAAAGTAAACAGCTTTGTTCGACACCGGTCTTCAGCTCCAACGGGTCTATCAGCTATCCTCCGTGCACGAATTCGCTGTATAATCCATCTTAAGAATCCCGTATGATGTTGACTATCTTCTCAGGCATACCGTAGTGTCGAAGAAGCCTCCATAGTGTTGTCCTGTCGACGCTATCGAATACTTTTTCGTGGACAATGAAGTTGATGAACAGTGATGAATTACATTCAATGGATTGTTTCACAGTGATCCGTAGTTACGCGATTTGTTCAGTTCATAATCGATCGCTACGAAATCTAGTCTGCTGATCTCGAAGTCAGGTGTTTATTGAATCTTTCATTCGATTGAACAGCACTGTTGAAGACCTTTCCCGGTACTGAGAATAGAAAGATGCCTCTTTAGTTCCCACACTTGCTGAGATCTTTCTTTAGTATCCTGATGAGGCGTCCTTCTTTCCTGTTGGTACTTATTCTTCCTCTCAAATCTTGTTGAAGAAAGAGTGGTGCATCTTTGCAGTTACTGCTATGACTGTTTTCATTGCATCAGCTAGAATGTTGTCTGGTTCTACTACTTTACCACTTTTGAATTATCTGCTGACCATGTTGATCTCTTCAGTTGGTGGTTCAACATTAATAATGAGGTCCGTGGATGCTGCTTCGATGTTGGGTGGGTTCAATGGGTCTGATCTATTTAGAAAATCTTCAAAGTGCTCTACCCTCCTGTTTCGCCGTGCTCCAATGTTACTGATTACTCTGCCTTCCTTTTTTTCTGTGGTCTTTTTGGTTTACTATGGTTTCCTGTGAGCTTCTTTGTTGTATCGTACAATTGTCTCAAGTTTCCTTCTCTTGCAGCCTTTTCCGCCGTCATTTCTAGATCTTCCACATATTTGCGTCTGTTGGCTGTGATGCTCCTATTCACTTGCTTGTTTGCTTCTGTGCATTCAGCTTGTGCCTTGACTCTCTCTGCTCTTGTTCGGTTGATGTTGATTGCCGCGTTTTTGCTCCTCCTTTCTTGAATTTTATCAAGATTGCGAACCGAGATCCATTCCTTGTGGTGTTACTTTTGTGACCCAGAACCTGACATGTTGAAGTGATCGCCCCTTTGATCCCTTTCCCATTGTCCTTTATGGTTATTTCCTCTCCATCGTGCAAAGCCGGGAACCTGTTGCTGAAGGTCATCTTCAATTTATTCATCCTCTTGCGCCTCAAATTTTTACTCACCATCTCACTAACGGTTTTTCTTATACATCTTTTTTCATGCTTATAGGCTTTAGTATTTTCCTAATCGATAAACATACAATTAGATATTGCTTGACTACCAAATATTTACTTAAGTCATGCACCCTTATGTGATTCTCCTTATTATTCTCAAATTGGTTCATGAATAAAACGTACTCGCCTTTTTACTATATTTTATATTTATTCAAAACTGTAGTTCCTTAGTAAGTCGGACATATATAATCATTCATGTACCTATATTCACTGACTATTATTTTTTCAGGTCTTCTTACGGAACTGTCATTAGAATTACGTGAGGCTCTTTCAACAAAGATAAGTACTTCTACTCGAATATCATCCAAAACTCGACCATCAATATTACGAGCATTATATACTGTTGGTTTGATTTGTAAATACTTTACACTGGATTATTCATTCAATAAAGACAAGAAATCGGTGAGAACTTACTGTTTTATTTAAATTTTAAATTTTATTTCGAGTTTTTTGCACTTTTAACCACCTTTTTTATCCGTTTTATTTTAATTGTATCTCAAATGAAGAGTTTATCCAATTCAAATCTGCTAGATGAAGTTGTGGACATACTTATGCTTTTTGCCGAATATGCATCCGTTCGTATACATCTGCAAAGCAGCACCACATTTTCTAATCCTAGTAGCTCTACAAACGATGTTATTACTGAGAATGTTAATCCATCTCATACGAAATCTGATATGATTGATCCAGATTTATGTCGTAAGGCAATTACTGGATTGGGATTCTTGTTATTTCGTCATGATCAACTCTTCTGTACTGGCTCTGTGCAATTGTTTTTGACTCGATTTCTTTCAGCTGTTCAAAATTCTTTGACTAATAATCATGTCGGTGGATCCTCATTTTTTGAGGTCCAGTGTATTATACTTGACAATTTAACACATTATTTGTTACAAAAGGAGCGTAAAGCAACTGCAGATAATCGTTTGTGTAAGTTGTTGCTTTTTAAAACCTTTAATAATTATTATTTTAATAAGTCTCTTTTAACTTAGATTTCTTAAACTCAAGCTGTCTGAATTTATTTCACAAAAATAATTAAAACGTTTTATTTACGAACGACCTTAAGTTACTTTAGAAATACAACGTTTAAATCTGTTACCCAAGCTAGTCATTGTACATAGACTTCATAAGTACATTCACGTTTATTCTACTACAGTCTCGTTCTTTGCTTACGGAACTTAAAGAATACTAATAATTGTAATTAATCCTTCTATTCTGTTCCTCTTTGTATACCCTTTTTATATCTGGATATTTCTTTGTTTGGTTATTTGAGCCGTATAATTCATACTTTAGATTATCAGAAAGATAATATAATGCGTGAGGTTAACGTGACAATTCACCACTTCAGTCCAAGTTCTCCAGTAAGGATAAACGTTTTCACAATTACTACTTAAGTCTATGTAATGTGCGGTGAAATACATGTCACAGGTCCCATCCTATTTGATACTTTTCAGTTTGACGTACTTACATTTCAGAGTTCAAAGGCAGTACCTATCACTACAAACAGCAGCGACACGCTGTATACTGAGCTATTGTATCCTTGTGTTCACTAACTATTCAAGAGTTATGATAGACATTTTCAAGTAGACAGCCAGGACTGCATCCGATCATTCTCCTTTACTATATCCGCTTGTCGAAGAAATACCTCTATATATTAACTGTGGTTCCAAGTTAATTTTATGTGAATAATGACTGGTATGTGGTACATCCATCTGATAAGAGCCTACTACATGCTAAAACCACCACAAACACAAGCATGTATTCCTCTAGATTTTTTCCATTATTTATAAATGTATTTTATATTTAGTGTGTAGGTTAGGACGTTTTAAACTGTGTGGAAAATATACCCATTACCACAGGCTAATGTTTCAATTTGCTCACTCTGTGATTAGCATGTCGATGTCAATTTGTCTCATAAATAAAATTAGGTTTCGTTTTTAAGTCAATCAATTTGATCAACAGTCTGTTATCAACCATAGTCTGTTTTCCATTATTGTTTTAATCCAGGGGCTACACATTCGAAACGTGAATCTCTTAAAGAACTAACTGATCAAGTAACTGGTCATAGCAGTGCAGTCGCTCAAACCTATCTACCCATAGTTTTGAAATATTGTATTCTCACACCGTCTACTAGTGTTCGCTCTTCAGCCCTAAGTCTAATATCAACTATATTACGTCAAGGATTAATTCATCCATCACACGTTTTGTCTTCCCTGATTTGTTTGCAAACTGATTCAGACCCAAGTATTCGTTCTCGTGCTTTAGTTTGTCTTACAGAAGCCGAGCGAAAAATTCCTGGATTTGCTTCAGTAAGTGTATACTACATTAACATTTTCATTAATATCTGTCACTTGATATTGCGTTATAAACTAATTCAAGAATTTTATATTTAATTTAATAGTAGCAGGAAAATAAAATAATCTTGAAACTTACATGTACTCAACACATGAGTATAATTACTGATTGACCAATGTAGTACTTCTTGTTTAAGCATTACATTGCGTGGGATATTATAAATTTGTAATTATTTTGTACCGGTTGATTTTAACGGATAAAGTTTCTTATGCTACTGAATCATTTTTTCACCGTTAATTGCCGTACGATTAATTTTTTGGCATTATAATCATTTACATTAGGGAAAATAAGACTGAATTGTAATAAGTCAAACTAATATATATATAGTTGAATATGAGATTTAGTTTATGTACGATATATATTTTGTCAGTGCATTTTACTATGTCTCTAAGTGTATATTTTCTGCCTAGAATTTTTCGAAATAAAAAAGGTACTTGATTATTTAACTAAATTTAAAAGACCGATCTGTCATTATTTGAGATAAATTTCAAACTACTTACAATTCAGAAGAAATTTATGCATTTACCTTGACTGTTTGTAGATGCGAGCTGTTTCTGGCATTCGCATGTCACATCAATTACAAGTTATTATGCAGACAAATGAGTTTTCTTCACTCATAGTTCGTGGAGCCAAAGATTCCAAAATCTCATCCGAAGGTAAACCACTTTCTCCGACAAACAATTCTGCAACAACAGTATTTTGTATAAATTATGGATTGTACACTCTGTTGCGAACTAATCGCCAATACCGTCGATCATTAATTGTTAACTTGTTATCTATGTTTGATGATCAGCAGGTGAGAGACTTGAGATATCCGTTTTTTGCAAGCTGTAAACTTTTCGCTTTATTGAACAGTATGAGATTGTCTTTAGTTTGAATAAAATCCCTTTTTGTTATAAAGAAACTTACACGTTATAGTATTTTGAGTTAGATCAAACGATTTCGTCCAACTAGTTCGTTTAATTAAAACAAATCAACTGTCTTTTATAGGTTATTGGCATCAAGTAGAGTTATTATCACAAGCCATAAATAATCCTCGTTACTGTCATCAGCATCGTGTTTGCACAAATTCATAAGCTTTGGGTTATGAAATCCTGGTATGGATACGGAAGGCTCGACTGGCTTTTGCCAACTTGCGTCACTCATGGCATAGGTGAGATATCCGTCTGCCAATAAAAGCATTACTGTACTTCGCAGTAATTCGCTCCAACCTACTATATGGTTGTGAAACATGGCCATTATTGAATTTGAACTGAAGATAGCGTTTCTGTGCTGATGTGGTATGGCAACTGGAACTGATGTACGTACGTACGATGTTATATGTTGTAAGTGACTGACTGTTGAGGACTTTAGATCCCCAGAACTCGCTTGATAAATGCCTTATTTTGTATTTAACGTTTGCGGGCACGGGCTGACCAGCTGACCTTGAGATTTTCCACCAGGAAAATCCTTGGCTGTGATTGGCTGCTGTGTATTTTAGTCTGCTGTTTTTGTGACTGTCGAAAGGACGTTTCTATGATGTATAAATAAGCGAGATTTGTGTGCTTGATTGCATTTTGCTTCCTGGATGGTTGTAGAATATACGTTCTACTTTATATCAAGACTTTTGCTTAGCCATTGAATCAGGGTATCCTACCACGACGCTGGTTCATTGTCTCGTTCGCGATTATCGACTAAGGTGAACCTGTAATAATTTCAAGCATGCATAGTGACAAACCTAACACTGACTGAGAGGCTTTATTTGAATGAGGTTCTACCGTATTCAGGAATATAAAATTGGTATGCACCCCAAACACACCGATAACATTTTAGGACCTATACTCATACATATATATATATATATATACTTTATGTTTATTTCTTTTTATTGTTTGATTTACAGAAACCATCACTTCATACCACTGAAAACGAAAGTGCTCAGAATAATTTAAGCCAGTTGATTTTTATTGCAGATCATTTGGCACACTTTCCATATGTTGTTCTTGACGAAGTGTACTACGTTGCTGACCTAATAGAACAACGAATAAGTCTTATAGGATCTACTATCTTACGATCTTTATACCGAAGTTTGTTATCTTCTCAGAACAGACGCTCAAATTCAGAAGGCTCAGAATTATCGAGATATTCAGTGAACAGTGATCGAAAATTTACTAATGAAACTGATCTCATGGACTTTCTTGATAAATGTGAAGCAAATCTACCTAGAGAATATGATTTCAACACTTCCTATAAATATATGGAAACGATGAAAGCTCTTGATGACCAGAGTTCGTTTAGTTCATTTGAGAAAGACCTTCAAAACATGTTTAAACACTGTCAGTCAGATACTTTGAAAGGAAAGGCCCGATCATCTATGATATACGCAGGTCCATCTTGTTTACTCCTAATGACTGTAAGAAAGTTTATACGTGAACACTATGGTGTAACCTACAGGTAAATTTTATTTTTATACATGCTTCATCCTGACCAGCAAAATAGCACTTTCCTACTAAGATGAAATTATGAATTTATCACCAATGTAATATTGATAGGATTGAAACTTTAGGTTTATAGTTATTCATACTGAAAAAATTTCCTGTAGCTTATTATAATGTGTGCATTTTTTCATTTTGTCCTACTTAGGACCGACGTGTTTTGATTGCTCATTCTCTTAAAAATGCTAAATTACTTCCCAAAACCCCATTAGATACACTGTGATGTAGTGTCCCAGTTTATTTTACTTGGAGTTTGTGATGTTGTATATTTATATCTTTTCCATGTATGTTAGTCTTTAATATGTGATAGAGATATTTATTTCTTCTATAAATATTCACTGTCGTTGTTCCAGTAAACTGAAAGATTACTCTCCGTCGGATGCACCGAAACTTTGGGAGAAACCGATCGTATTAATGAAACAATCAAGTTTTGCAGGCCAGCTCATCACATTATCGTACATAGTCCACCAGTATGTTTGTAACCCTGGGTGGGGCGACTTATCTAAAGGTCCTCCAGATCATATTCTTTTACGCCATTTTCTTGTGTTGCGCCGAGAATTACTGCTTCATGAAGATAGTGCTTTGAGTGATCAATCAATAATGTGCACTTCCAAGCCTAGTGCTCAAATTCCTAACATTGAAAACGATGTCAAAGGTAAGTTCAGATCCAAAAGCTTGATTTCTTATCTTTGACTGCATTTTTCTTTCTGTCCTTTGTTACTTATCCATACAATACTTTTGTTAATCCAAATTCTACTCGATCAGTATTATATTGGCGTTTTTATTATCACTGTCACATGTCTCTTCCGTCTCTCACTGATATGCATAATTGGGTTAGTATCCAAAAAATCAGTTTGTTGTGAACTCAACAATTCAGCGATAAGTGCAAATGCGACTTTCAGTTTGTTTTCAAAATTTTTTTGTTGATACTGAATCACTAATCATAACAATTACTATTTTACCCGCTTCCCAATGCCATTGAGTTCAAAGTGTAGCCTTAGTTACCTCACTAAGAATAGACGTTACATATTACTGAGCTAAATATTTCTACTGCGCTAACGTTTTAAAGCAACCTGAAATGTTTGCAGTTTGCAACAGATGTAGATCTCAATATAACACGCATATTTATTTCTCATGATATCATTTCTTTCATGACTTGTAGCGTCCACATGATCTTTACTACATGCGTGGTTGATTGCAACCTTTTCCTCATGGCCTAAAGCAGCAGTTGGACAGTCTTCAGAAATATGATATATTGGACTATCGTAATATTAGGTGCATTTGTGTATATACTTATTTTAATCTATCACCATGGTGTTACTAACGGAGTTTCCTCCATTAATGTTTTTCTATCTGTATCAGTTATTTATTCGGTTGCATTTACGCGTATTAAGGGATTTGAAGTATACAGCCGCATGTCAGTGACGTAACAATTTAGTAAATTATGTGAAACTTCTAAAATTCATGAGAGATTGTCACTAACAGAACCCCACATAATTTGCTTAGTGTCTAAAGGCGTAAAGAAAGCCATCTACAAATTATTTCGCCGAACGGTTACTTCATTCTTTTATGTTACTGATGTTTACTATTTCATAAGATTCTCTATTTTCCCACGTATATTTGCCCTCTCAGTCAGTCAACAATTGAATACTGTATTTTGCAGAAGATTGTCAGCCGAAAGTGAAGAGTGGAAACTGTTCTACAAATTTATGCAATCCGTCCAGGCATAAGAAATCAACTTCTTCAGGATGTTTACCATCTGTCAAGCAGAGTCTTGGCGGTTCTATTGATCAAACAATTGGAGAATTCGGTAAACAACTTGTCAAGCGTAAACATGTAAAACGGCAGTCTTCAGAATCGTCTTTGTCATCTTTATCAGATTCTTCTGATGAGTCTGTGGTCGACATTGAGACAAAAATTAAGGAAAAACATCCTGTTGACTTGCAACCAGAATGTTTACCTTCAAAGTCTACCAAAAAGCGTAGACGGTTATCAGACCATTCCAGTTATTCTACCGACTCTAATTCAGTCGACTTAAATAATCTTAGAACCTCACAGAACGTCGGCAGTGCCCGTGGTAATCGGTCTTTGTTGCAATCAAGTCCAGATTCATCAGTAAGCACCATTTTCCATCAGTAATTTCGTGTTTCTGTTTTTATACAAGTTATTGTTGTTTATTTAAGTGTATGTATACGCACTGTGTTCTGATACTTTTCTACAATTCCGGTGATTTCATCTTTTTTCACTTATTCGTTTACATTATTCATGATTCCGTTTTACTCGGTTACAGGATATAAGATGCTGCCGTTCTACCTGTTATGTTGGTTTACATATTCTAAAAGCTCTCAAACAATCGAGTCTTTTGTGTTGACAATGTTGCTCAATACATATTCTGTTTTATTTGTTTTTTAATTTAGAACTTGTTGTGGCACGCAAATTGTATTTTTTAGTTTATTCTGAAACCCGCCAAAAATTAACACTTCATTTAACCGTAATTTTTTTTTATAAAAATTCATGTAAATACCATGACACGTCATTATTGTAAAAGGCTGGATCTTGTGCGATCTGTACTGATTGACACCAGTCGTATTAACTAAATGACATCTACCCAGAAAAAAATATGTTAAACTATGCAAATGTAATTGAAATTTATTGGAAAGTTTAGCGACTACTTGAATCAATTTTCTTAGATCATTTACTATGCTTTATTATTTCATTGTAACTGCCCATCATAGCACAATTTAAATATTTGTAACAGAAAACTCGTAGTATCACAAAATGGCTTCTATTGTTTGTTCACCTTCCTACTGCTTTTTTTGTAGAATAAACCCAATTTTGAGTGTCAGTCTCGACGTACGCATTTCGAGTCTCTGGATTCTGATGCAAACTCAGAAACGAACTCTTTAGATAGCTCTGCTAGAAAAATTAATAACGCAGCTATAATTTCAAAAGCTAAACAACCTACTGTTTCGACTAATGCTAATCAACCAAAGAAGCAACCAACCTCTCAGTCACATTCGCGAAAAATTACTAAAACGAAAAAATCCAATTATCAAGATGTGGATGCTACTAGTCATCCTAAATCTCTTCCTCATCAATGTCGTGCGACTAATTCAAAGCAGTCTACAGGTCCAACTCGCACTCTTGCTCCACTACCATCCGCTATGATGAATAGTGTAAATACATCTCGTTCAGGGAAAAATTCCATTACGAATAGAACAGCTAAACACAGTTATAAACGATCGGAATTCGTCAATGAACATGAAACCAAACATTTATCACAATATTCTTCTTCAAGCAGTAATCATCATAATTCTAGAGGGAAGAATTCAAAATTTAAATCATTGCCATATAAAACCAATCATTCAAATGAAACTCCACTTCACCAACTACATTCGGAAGAGCCACGAACAAACAAGAAACATCCATCTGAAAGCCAGAGTTTCCGAATTCGTCACTTGAATTCAGCAACTAAGCATGCCTTACTTAAAAATGTGCGAAAGGTATGTATTTTCTTTTTCTTCAGGCTGTTTAGTAAGAATACATTTCTCATTACAATTTATTCAGTAAATTATGTCGACAGTTTGACTTCTAAGTACATTTTTATTTCTGTTTTCAGTTGGAAACTCTATCCAATTGTGATATAAGCGAAGAACAACTATCTGATTGTAGTAAATCTTCTCTATCATCCAGCTCTACGTCACTGTCTTCATCGTCAACATCATCGTCAGAGGATAGTATTTCTTCTTCATCCACCTCGTCATCTTCACCTCCTCAGTCTCGGTTAAAGCAAAAAAAGAAAACAAACCTCACTTGATACTTTCATGTTTCTGATGAAAAATATTTTTTAACAAAAGAACACAACCACTTGGATGTTTAAATCTCAAAGTTTCAAATAGCATTCTTAGGTTGTTCCTTACCAACTAAAATCACGTTTTTGTCGCAATTATTTTTTGTCCGACGCTTGTTTCTTTTCATTATTATTCACTAGCAAATAGTATTTTTGCACAGAGAAAAAGCTGATAAACAATATTACGCTCGAAAACATTCCTCTTTGTGTTCAAGCGCCTTGGCTTCACCACTACTTTTAAACAGATCGGATTATCTCCATAAAGTTGGCATTAAGTGCTGTAATATTACCAGTTACATGAAAATAACTAATTTTATGTGTATAATCCATGGTTTTTCATACTATTGTTGTATAGTAATGCTAATATTCAGCACACCTTTTTTTCTATCCTTTAATGTTTTTTAAAGATTCTCCAACTTAATGTAATATACTGTCTCACGTTTGTATGTGTACTTTCTTTTGTACTATCTTTTGTGCGGCCATGCTAAAATCATGAGGTAAAAACATAAGCGTTGTTCTATCGATCTTTAGCGTCCAGCTCAATCCTTTTTGTGTATGGGAACATGGTTTCGTGCGAATTCGCGTTCTTTTCTGAACATGTCTCTCTTCCAAAAATTATTTAAAATACAGTACATCGATTATTTCTTGTGCATTCGTCCTAATATTAACAATAATATTTCACTTATTTGTCAATTCCGCAACTATAACAGTTTCAATATTATTTTTGAAATCTTTCGTTTCTGTTTTTAAAAATATACCAATAACATTAAAGATAATAATGTTAACAATGACTAACTGGGTCAGTCAGTTTTGTAATTTTTTGTTTCGTTTTAATTTCTTGGTTTGATTTTCTTTTGGTTTGTTGTTTTCTAGTTGACCATACTTTTATTTACGTTTACAATGTCGGTTTTTTTTAGCTCATCCTAACTATTAGTAGTAGCTGTAGTAGCTGCAAGATACACTTATCTATTGTTCAAAGATTATTAACTTTAAATTTGCTATGATTATCTCAGTTTAATTTGTACAGGTTGATTCTTATTCTCGATTTGTACATTTCAATAATCAAGACACCAGAAAATAAAGCAACAACGTTCATACCAAATATTAGTTATATAAATGAAGTAATTAATTTTGGTTATTGTTTATCTGGACATGCCACCTTTTATTTTACCAAATCATATTGGTCCTAGTATTTCTACTTACGAATTATCTTATCTAGAGATGTGTAAATATTAGTATGACGCCTAATTAAGCTCATTGACGTACCTCCAGTCTATCCGATAACAATTAAGTTGCTGTAAACTTGAAATGTTTTCCATATCTCAATTGTGTTTAGTATATTGTTCCATTACCTTAAATTAGAATTAGATAATGGTCTTCATGATACCTGACTTGAAAACTCATTCGGTGGCAGATAACTGTCAAACATTTCCAGGAAGGAAAATTGTGAAATTCTAAACATTCATAAATATCTCAGACATTGAATATTATTACCCCTTGCAAAAAATGTAACACTTCTCGATTAGGTCGAAAATTTTGTGATTTAACTAGTTGTTTGCAAGAATGACATTCGGTTTTGAAAAAGGCTACCAAATATTTGACATAATCAAATATCGATAGTTTGTCGTCAAATACTCTGTCGGTTTGGTTTCTGTATTTATACGTTGTTCGATTGTTTGCTCACGATTTTTTTTGTTAAACTGTCAAAACAGTTTTTTAGGTGTGACTAACGAAGTTTGATCTCATAAATTTCAAATATATTTAACCATGGGTGTATTGTGAACAAAAATACATTTTCGGTATCCCAATCAGTAGAATAGTGTAAGCCACTTCTTCAGAGAATACGAATTCTCTACTCATTAGGATACTGCAAATATCTTATTTTGATTAGTTGAGGAGCATAACCAAACTGGCGTACAGTATCATATAACACAACCAGCTTTTAGCCTGCAATTAATTAAGCGTGCTTTTATTCGAATCCCCGAATTGTATGCTGATAGCCGTAAGTTGTAACTAGGTTGCTGTAGAAATAATATTTAAAAAACCTGAAGTAACAAATCCGTGTATAGAAACTCGAGGGAAAACATGGAGAATTCAGGAAAGTAAAATATATGTACGGCGCTAAGTTATTGTCAACTACAGTATCAATCATTTAATTGTAGCTAGGAAAGAAGTTATACACATAGGCAAGTATAAACACTGATCACTTCTGCTCAGGTTTCTAAAGTCCACCACTGATAACCATAAATTAACTTCCATATCACATACACAAGTGAATATTTCGATAAAGTCAATTTTTATTAGCCTTTTCTTAATATAAAAAGTGCATTCGTATAAATATAGATAGGATACAAACACCGATTCAAAAATTCGAAACTGTTTATCTAAATCTGTCTGTCACCAATGCAATTGTATCAGTGGTCGAACCTCTTTAATACAATATCCAAACAGCTTTCAATACAGTGTGTTGTCGATATTTTTGTCTTTAAAACACAGTCACTATTAATCGAACGTAAAATATAAACCATCTGGACAATGAACGAGATTATACAAATTCACAACACCTCATGCTACAAGTTCGAATTGCAAAATAACTTAGACCAAAATTCAAATCTTTAGCATAATAAATAAAAAAAACTGATATTTCTTGCAAATCAGGAATATAATCATTATGTACAAATGTATATATGTATAAAAGTATATATTATTTAAAGATTGCTGCTAAAAGAAATAAATAATAATAATATTCATGAAAGGTTTAAAAGTACTTTCGTTACTGTTCTAGCCTGAAGGAATTGCTCGAGTATTTTCTCACTTTGCGCTATTAGATAAACATTCTAATAACTTATTTCTATCAAGCTGAAACGATTGCCAACACGACACAATTTGTAATCCAATATCATCATCACCACCTTTGTCACGATTATCAGGGCTGCTCTTCGTATTTTCATCCAATATTGACATGAAACAGAAATTTGTCTATTAAATAAAAATAAATGGCCAAATACGATACAAGAACTAGAGAAAAAGATTAAGAAAAACAATGAGGCACAAGTATTTATCTACAACTGATAACTGTTCGTTTGACAACGACCAAGTTACCAGTATTCAATCTGAGCCTAGGGCCTACGAAGCAAGGTTTATAAGACCAGAAGCGTTTATTGTTTTTTCATCACCCAATTAACTGAAAGATTGGGACGTTTTATCGACAGATCTAAATGAGATTTGATTAACGCAGGAAGCGTAGGGACTCCGAAAGAAGTAATAAATCAGTTTTTAACATCTCGACAAGCTACTCAGAACCTATATAATCCAGATAGGAAGCAGCATCAGAGCGGCAATTTTCATGTGGGAAAATTGTTCCCTTAAAGGTTGTCAGTCTAAGAGAACCAGGAATAATAAAAAGGACGTTTGAAACTGTTTCATTCTGTTCGCTAAATATCTGGAACCAAAAAATATTGAGTCAGTCAGACCCAGATACGAAACAACTATGAACATAAAGTTTGTTCTCGTAATCCTCTCACTTGACATTCTGCTGAATAATTTCTGAATGCAATCCCATGAAAAAATTGTTCATAGTAGGACGATCAAGTCAACTCAATCAAACCAATGAATGGAGCACATCTTGAAATACAAGACCAGATCGTAGCTACTATTTTGACGTGGTGGTCGGACTTGCCTATCGAGATGACCCAACCGAGCTTATTGGCTGGAACATATGTTCCTTTAGGTCATACCATACCAGGCGGGTCGATTGGAGAACGGCAAGACAAAAAACAGCCAGTCGAGGTCTGATGGCAAAGTTGTACTGCCAACTGTAGAAAGGTGTGATAGCAGTAAGATGTTTCCCTTACATACCCAGCATCTGCAGCGATGCACATTTTACACAAGACAGGAAAAGGTAGACCCTCAAAATGTCCCTCCTCACCTTACCTCACAGATTTCAATCTCCGGTCATAAGGCTTCTTGGAGATCAGAGCTAACACTTTACAAACTTCCTACACAAAGGCCGCACGTGAGCGGTATCAAGCAGTTATCTCTTGTGCTTTACGGTCACGCTCCCAGGTTTCTAAGAGCAACGCAAATTTAACTTCCTCTTCAGGTTCCTCAAGAAACCCTTCCACGGCGTTGGCATCCGGGGAGCGACATCCTCTCTCATGCCAGTAACAGCACACAAGATAAAATTGGTAACAATCGAATCCTTCATACACTTTTTAATAACCTGGTTGGGGTCCGCGAGATGTTAATAACTGGATGGTTAGAGACCTTGGACGACATGGCTCAAAATCGTTTACAATGGCGCATGCGCATCCACTCTTCGTGTTCTCTCGAATTAATCTTCTGTATTGCTCATCACCACTATCGTTCTCCTTTTAAATTTATTTCGCTGGCTTATGCTTATTGAATAATATCTTCGAACCCTTATCTTCTCCGTTACTGCTAACGCTTCTTTTACCTCTACTACCATGGGATTTGAATCGACAATTCGCTCTGTGTGTGCTAATGTGGTATGGCAACTTGGACTGATATACGAGTGTACGAAGTTCTACGTTGTAACTGACTGTCAGCCACGCGGCCATCACTTCTCCATTGAACAGGTTTGAGACCTGCAGTAGTCCTAGGGCAGCATCAAGAGATGTTCTTTGATTTATAAGCATCTGCACAAACTTATAACACCCAATTTACTAATTAAACATGGCCAGTGAGAGTAGAAGATATTCGTAGGTTACTGGTTTTCGATCATGGGTGTCTTCGAAGCATTGCTCGTATACCGTGGGACAACCGAGAAAGCAACGCTGTTATAAGGAATCTGGTGCTAGGTAAGAATGGCAGATCAATAGACGCAGTAGTGACACTTCATCAGTTGAGGTGGTTGGGACATGTGTTGCGTATGCCCAACCACCGATTGCCTCGTCGAGCTTTGTTTTGTAGTGTAGGAATAGGTTGGAAGAAAGTTAGGGGCGGCCAGACCAAAACATGGCAGAAATCCATCAAGTCATTGACTAGTGGACTTAGCCATGTCGGTAATTGTCGACTACCTGGTTGGGGTCTGCGAGATGATAATAATCGATGGTTAGAGACCTTGAATGACATGGCTCAAAATCGTTCGCAATGGCGCCGGTGCATTTATGCTTTGTGTTCTCTCAAATCCTAATCTTCTGGGTTCTTTAACAACTCCAGTTTTGACTTTCTGAACTTTTCTCATTGAATCATACTTCTTGAATAATATCTTCTAATCCTAACCGCTCCGATTACTTCTAATACCTTTATTACCTCTACTACTACTATTGGATTTGAATTGACAATTACATCTCTGTGCTGATGTGGTATGGCGACATGAACTGATGTACTTACGTACGAAGTTCTACGTTGCATCTGTCTGACTGACTGAATTTACTAATTATAGTATTTGCACATTCTTAACACTGGTAACAGTTATTTTCAATTTCAACATACACGGTTAACATTTATCAATAAAAGCTTTTTTTGTCATATGTTCTTTGTATTGCTGTTGATAATATATGCCATTGTAAATTCGATTCAGGTGTTAGCCATTATACTTCTCATCATATGCTTCTAGAAATAACATTTAAAACCTGTTCTGAGGAGCACGCTTTCTTGATTGCAAACAACCTCGTTAGATATCGTAAAACGCTCAAGTTGACATTTGTATCGATGTGACAAAAACTGCCGTACTTATGGATAATCTTGTTCAGGATTTTAAGCATCACTTGATCATATGATCAGAAACAGTTACAATTCTACGAGCAGGAATTTTGATACCCTCAAAAAAGCACACACGACCAATCGATTGCTTCACAAATAACTAAACATTTCTCGAGTATTATCGATGTGGTTACTGTGCTTCCAGACATACTCAAAGATATACTTTCTCAAAGATCAAATTATGTATATGGATAAACTGTCAGTTAGTCTTACTATTTGACTCTTGTTACAAATTGATAAACATTAACATGTGATAACTACTATGAGACACAAGTGAAGATCATTCTGACTACTTTCTTCTTGATACCTGGTAGGTATTAAAGTATATTTGTTTTGTAATGAAGTATAAAAGACGGTGAATACGGCCGAGTTTGGTATATAATTAGGAAATAATTCATGTAGAATGGCATATTATTTGAAAATACTACATGATTCTCAAGAATCGGCTGGCCGCATTGTGTACATATGAAATTTGTAACTAAATATTAGAATTTTCAAAAGATATGATCTGCAACAACAAATATGTCCGAAGAATTTCATCATACGTACCATTACGACTGTATGAAAAAATATTAAAAACTCACGTACATATGTAAACTTACACTAGGTTTCCCACAAATCTTAGACTCCGTATAGTTGGCAACATTAACAGGACGTTCACGATTCCTAATAAAAAAAAAACAATAGAATGTTACGTATTACGACTGAATATTCTTATGCGGATGAAGTCCAAATAACCGGTTTTAGTTTGTCGCACTTTAGGGAAGAAATACCTAAAAAAAGGATTCCGTTAATAATATTTTGAAATTTAATAGTAATTTCCAATTTTAGATAGAGATTTCTTGAGGACTTTTTATCCTCGGAACTCACTCTGAAAAGGTCCTAATTTTGTTATTTCATTCCGAAATTTTGAATTTCTATGTTTTCGCGACAAAGATACTAAGTTGACCTTTGCTGATATTTCATACTCGGAACATCCTTGACTGTCATTGGTTGACGGATTTTTGGTACGCTATTTTGTGGCTCTTCCAAGGGCGTTTCTATCGTTGTATAAATAAGCTTGATTTGTGTGTCACGTGCCGCGTCATATTTTCTGGTTACTTGTAGAATACATTCTCTACACCTTATCAAGACTTCTTGCTTTTGTTAGCGCGGCTGGGGCAACGGATTAGTATAGATTACCGTGTCAATGAGTCGTTGCTGTTCGTTCCGTTTACCAAGTAAGGTGAACTCGTATTAGTTTCGACCATATCATAAGAGGAGCATGAGTACCGAAAAACCTAAACATGTGGAAGATCTAGCACTGTCGGCGGAGAAGGATGCAAGAGAAGGACACTTGAGACATTTGAATGATACAACAAAGAAGCTCTCTGGAATCTTTCGTAAACCAGAACGACCAATGAAAATCATGGAAGGCAAAGTAATCAGCAACATTGCAGAACAGTGAAACAGGTGGGTAGAGCACTTTAAGGAACTCTTGTATCGACCAGACCCACTGAACCCACCCAACGTCGAAACAGCATCCACGCCAATTTCAAGTAGAAGGTGGATTCGTGAACACTATTTATACAACTGCAAGGCAACCAATCAAAAACTTGAACTCAACAGTTTCGAAAAATAGGATTCTTAAGCGCAAGCGTTTTGAATGAAAATTATTAATTTTCACCTTCATTTAAGTAAATTAGCATGATGAAGCGTTAATGTGAATAAAAGATGGGTTGATGTAGGATCAGATCACCATTTGGTGATGCCTAAAATTATACTGATTTAGTGGCTGACTGAGGTTAAGATACAAGCGATCCAAACATGAAGTAAAACACCAGCTTATAAAATCTAGTGACGTTACTTTATTACGTTATGCATTTTTTAATACAGTTAGTGATGTTGACTAAGAATAAAACAAGGTTTTGCATTCTTGTGTTATTTTAGCCATTAGTGAAGAACACAAACACACTTTTAAAAGTGATATCAAATAAATTGAGTTGATTTAGACAAAGTTTTAATTAGTTCGTGATTTCACCTGTGAAGAATTTCTGATTCTAAGATGTCTTAACGTGTGAGGTGGTCTACTATTGAGAAATCTCCAATTAGAACGAAAATTAGACGCCCTGTACAAGGATTGTTACTGATAATGGCCCTCACACTTGAACCTCAAACGGAAAACAAAGTGCAAAATGTGAAACATCAACTTTTCAACTTACATTGAGTACAGAAACCATCGGTGTTATTAGGACAAATGGACAGTTCGAATGAGTACTATCGTGAGCATTAAAAACGTGCTAAGATTTTCGGACTTCAGTTCCAATGGACAACAAGGAGTGACTGCACTTGAGTCATTGTAAACGATTATGAGCGGTGTTACTCAAAGTATCTAACCATCGGTTGGGGTATTCACGAGAACCCCAACTATGCAGTCCTCACCTAGTAACACAGACCAGTCAGATTGGCGCTAACTTCAAGAACCGATCCCACGTCTCAGTTTTCGTGGCCGTATCTTCCTTTCAACTTACTTCTTCCTGGATGGGACAACACCCACCGAGGTAATAAGTGCTTCAGCACACGTTACACAGGTCCTAACCACCTCGAATGATTGAGATTCCCCAGTTCATCAATCGATTCGCTATATTTACCTAGTATCCTACGCCTAACCTCGGCATTACTTACTCAGTGAACATGAAATACATGAGCGATGGTTCAAAAACACATGATCGAAAGCCAGTAACACAATAATAATCTCTAGTTTTAGTGGCCATGTTGCAGATTTGTTTGAACTGAATAACTTTGAATGCTAACTACATGTACTGGTGCATTAATATAGAAGGGTTACAAATTATTAGAATATTATATACTGAAAAGCTCAAACATAAACACTACAGCTCTTGGTTTATTTTCCTTTTCGTTTTCACTTGGACAAAACGAGCGGTAAATATATTGGGAGCTGAGCTTCATATGTATGATAGAAAGGAAAATGGCTGTAGCAGCTGAACGGGTAGAAAACTTCATCGATTGAATATGAGTGGTAAATACTGACTTTAAAAATTTTTTGAATGATTGCAATTTAAGTGGATTTTAAAGAGATGTTTGTTTTCATATTATATTAATGCTGAGCATTCTATACTGTACCAAATATTAAAGGTATTGAGTAGGGCTATTATTATTATTTCCACTGTTATTAGTACTATTTCCATAACCAGTATTATTTGCTAAGGCGGTCACAAGAATACCCGGATTTTGTTAGCAATTATGAAATCTTTAAAGAAACGATAACTGAACCTGTATTCCTGCTAAATCACTTTTCTGCGTGATGTTTGCCTTTTTCTGATTGGTTGTTGCCATTTTTAGTTTGCTAAATGCCGGTTGCTTAGGGTAGTATTTTGATACTATATATTTGCATGGTTATGCCTATTCGCTTTGGACTACTTATCCAACCCCGAATACCAAGTTACTTTACAATTTGTAGTCTCATTGCATTATCCATCGGGTGTTGATGTGTTGTGTGCAAATTATCGTTATCTATTAACAAAGGAAAAGGTTGTATTAGATAGGCTCCATTGTTTCCCTAGATCCGCAGGTATTTCAAGCTCGTACTAGATCCGAATAACGAGATACAATATTATTATCACATTTTTATTTGTACTACTACGTAAATGAGACAATGGTGTAAATCTGATAGGTTCATTGACTATGTAAAGAGAATGCGCACTGGAGTTTGATACTAATCAGATGGCTACTATTTATCGATTTGATTAGGAGATTGAGGTCTCAAACTAAAATAGTCAACTTCATTAAATTAGACTTGCAGTAAATTGTATAAGTTGCCTTATGTGGTAAATACCATTCATTTAAACTGCCGGATGGAGGCCGTAGTACAGTCTAACGGAAATAACCCTCACTAGTAAGTTAGGAACGATAACTCTTCTACAACCTGGTTACAATGATTGATAATTTCAGTAACACCACAATATCAATATGAGCTGTATTACCTCGATTTTTCACCGGTGTTTCCGTCTTCAGATAAAGATTGATTGAGACTTTTGGATGTATTTGATTTCTTCTTTTTCTGCTTTTTGGACGGGGTACTTGTGGCATTCACTTTCATACTTGACAAATTGCTTGCTGAAGTGTGTTGAAGATTGAGAGAAGAATTCATAGAACTACCGCAAACACGTTCTGATTCACATAAAGCTAGAGCAGGAGGTTTGCCTGACAAACGCTGTTCTATGTATGATCTCAGTTGTCTATAGTCAAGTTTTAAAAATAATTATATTAAAAACTCTACTGAATAACAATAATAAACAAGTTATTTACTCATGATTAATCACTTTTCGAGTATGCAAATGCAATTTAACTAATTTACAGGACACAATAATAAGGTCTTCAGACAAAACTAGAGACTCCTGGACTGAGATAATTTAATTTAATTTTAATATCATAAGGCTACTGATTACTTTAGCTGGTAGGAGTCTCTCCGTAGAATGTTAATGTAATGGTATGTTTTTAGATTTTAGCTGACAATCAGCCTTGGTGATATAAGATTATATGAAATTTATTTCATGGATGAACTGCTGTGAAGACAAGGATTGGTGATACATATATGTTTGACTTTTATACACTGAATTGACCTTAAATCTGCTTAACCTGGTAACCGAGAATAAACACAAACGTAAGCTGAATGTAGTTTACAGCTCATCATATGTACCTTGTAAGTCAATTGGATACCAAGTTTCTTAAGAGAGAAAACGAATGGTTTGGAAACAATACGAGAGATTAGTTTGAGGGGTTATATATAGGGAAAACAAATGAAACACTTGCCGAATAAATGGAATCACCAAGTAAAAGTTATTTGGTCTTGAATTCAATTTCTCAATAGAAGCAGTATCTTGGATATGTGTCGGCAAATCAGCAATCCCAAACCAAGTTATAGCTTCAATCTCGTTTTTTGTACCAGGCTTCAATCGAGAAGTCCTCGGAAGTCCTTCAACAATGAATGCTCGTCTTAAAGTACCACCAATATAACGATCAATATAGAGAAATGGTAAAATACGATTCGTCAAGTCCAGGCCCGTTTCTTCCATCACCTAGAAAAACACTCAAAAATATACGCTACTTACTTCACGCGAAGCACAATCAACAAGAGATTCGTCTTGATTGATTTTGCCACCAGGAAGGCTCCAGCGATTACCATAAAATCCTTGGACTAATAAGATCTAGGAATCAGATCAATATTTATCACTCTTACCATCTTATAATGTTCGTCAATAATTATCATGCTTCCCGTAGCTGTAGATCCACGATATTTCTTCCACTCGACAAACTTTTCTTGCCAGTTTATACCCTTGGGGACAATAGAAGGAAATTTTCCAAATACTAATAAACTATATATTACGAAGGCAAGAAACTACATTGTTGCGTCAGTCCAAACATATCGACACCACCAACTGAAGGATCTTCAATGCAATAATCGACATAAAACCAATGAGCCCGTTCAACTTCAAAAAAGATTCTCACGAAATTCTTTGCACAATCTTCTTTTAACTCATCAGGGATATTAAGAATAAATCGCCTACAGCGTCAAAAGGGTAATAATAAGATGGTACTTACGTGTATAAATGTAACAAAATGTTATCTGGCACAATATGCAGAGGTTCCTGCGTCATCTTTGGTCTATATCTAGGAGAGTAATATGAAGAAAGATTCAAATGCTTTAAATCACAAAACTAAATTCTGACATCTTTGGACTTTTAAGGTATATAACCAGATTGTTGCACATCATCTAGCAGCGTTCAAACCCCCCAGGAAATTTAAGGATGAAGTATAGTTAGATCACTGAAATCTTTAGAATAGGTCACAGTTAGTGAAGCACCTGATATAAAAATATGATGACCCACAAGACTTAACTGTTCTACAGACAGAGCTACATAGAAATAACCAGTTGTTTACCGGTTAGACCAACTCAAATTACCACATCTTATGTAACTACATGATGATAAAACGACTATAATTTATGGACGAACCAATTACATTTGAGATAGCAAGTCTTTGGTTTTGTCCATCAGTCAGTTGCAACGTAGAACTTCGTACGTAAGTACATCAGTTCATGTCGCCATACCACATCAGCACAGAGATATAATTGTCAATTCAAATCCAATAGTAGAAGAGGTAGTAAAGGTATTAGAAGTAATCGTAGACGTTAGAATTAGAAGATATTATTCAGGAAGTGTGATTCAATGAGATAAGTTTAGAAAGTAAAAGCTAGAGGTGTTGAAGAACTCAGAAGATTAGGATTTGAGAGAACACAAAGAATAAATGCACTGGCGCCATTGCGAACGATTTTGAGCCATGTCATTCAAGGTCTCTAACCATCGATTATTATCATCTCGCGGACCCCAACCAGGTAGTCGACAATTACCGACATGGCTAAGTCCACTCGTCAATGACTTCATGGATTTATGCCATGTTTTGGTTTGACCGCCCCTAACTTTCTTCCAACCTATTCCTACACCACAAAACAAAGCTCGACGAGGCAGTCGGTGGTTAGGCATACGCAACACGTGTCCCAACCACCTCAACCGATGAAGTTTCACCACTTCATCGATTGATCTGCCATTCTTACCTAGTACTCGTTTCCTAATAACAGCGTTGCTAACTCGGGTGTCCCACGATATACGAGCAATGCTTCGAAGACACCTATGATCGAAAACCAATAACCGTCGAGTATCTTCTACTCTCATTGGCCATGTTTCACAGCCATAAAGTAAGACAGAGCGAACCACTGCGCAGTACACTCGTCCTTTAGTCAGCAAACGGATATCTCGCCTACGCCATAAGTGACGCAGGTTGGCAAAAGCCAATCGAGCCTTCTGTATCCGTGCCGAGATTTCGTCAGTCACCAGGCCATCAGCACTGATGAGACTCCCAAGATAGGTGAAGCGGTCTACACGTTCGACCACTTCACTCCCTATCACTAGTTCAGGTGCCGATGACACCCAGTCTTGAAGCAACATTTTGCATTTCGAGGGGGAAAACCGCATCCCGAACATGCTTGCATTGTTGCTTAGGGTAGTCAGAAGACTCTGCATTTTGTCAGCGTCTTCACCAAGTAGGACAATGTCATCGGCATATTCTAAGTCAATAAGCGAGCCACCTGGTAAAAGGTCTACTCCTGAAAATTCAGACGAGGATAAGGTAAGTTCTAGGAGCATGTCTATGATAAAATTGAACAAGAATGGAGAAAGTGGACATCCCTGACGGACACCACTTGATGTAGAGAATTCCGGTGACAGTTCGCCATAAGCCCTCACTCGACCAGTGGTGTTCGAGTATAGGGCTTGTATAAGGTTAATGTACTTCTTTGGTACACCTTTCAATGACAGACACTGCCACAGAACCTCACGATCCACTGAGTCAAATGCCGCCTTAAGGTCCAGGAAAACAACTATTGTAGGACGCCTAAATGTGTGTCTGTGTTCCAGGACCTGTCGTAGTGTGAAAATGTGGTCTATACAGCCACGTCCAGGTCGAAAACCAGATTGGTTTTCCCGAGTTTGCTCTTCACGAGCTTTCGTTAAGCGTCGAAGTATTATTGAGGCCAATATTTTAGATACTATGTTAGTTAGGCTTATTCCCCTGTGATTGTCACAAGAAGACTTCTGTCCTTTCTTATAGATTGGGACAATCAGTGATTGAGACCAGTCGGATGGGATTGCGTCCAGTTCCCAGATTCTACCTAAGATCTCAGTCAACCTAGCTGATAAAACTGGACCTCCATCCTTAAATATCTCAGGGGTGAGTCTATCAGGACCTGCAGCTCGTCCTCGTTTCAGATTTCCTAACGCTTTCTCAACTTCATTAAGACTAGGGGGACTTAGGTCGATTTGCCATTCAGGATGACTGGAGATCGTGGGTAATCGAAGAGTGGCTCGTGGCCAGTTGAACTGATCCCTAAAGTGTTCTGCCCATCGATCCAGTCTCCTGGATTGAGAATGGATAATAAGACCATCCTTTTCCGAGATAGTCTCACTCACATTCGGGTTCTTAATACCAGTTTCTTTAATAAGGCGGAAAAGTTGTCTACTGTTGCCTATCGCCGCTGCCTTTTCCATCGCTTTCGCTTTCGCCACCCACCACTGTTTACGGTCGTTACGCAGACTTTTTATAAGTCTGCGCCTAAGTTGACTTCGTTCTTCATCATGTTCAGAGTCAGGTGGGATGAGTTTTCGGGCATCCATCAGATCGGTGGATGCTACTGAGATCCACGGTTTCATTCTAGCCTTATGGTCAACCTCACTAGCAGATATCACTGCTGTTTCCACAGCCTTTTTGATATCATTCCATCCTGCTTCCGGATGGGAATCGCTTAAATGGTCGCCTAACTGTCTTTCTAGTTGTTCCTGAAATATATTTTTCGCCTTATTATCATTAAGCAAAACCCTAAGAGGCTTTCTTACGGTGTCTTTCCTACGTCCTGTAAGCTTCAAACAAATACGCGCTCGCACTAGGGCATGATCTGAATCCAAACATGTGCCCCAGAACGAGCGACAGTCCTCTATCGAACCCCTCCATCGGTGGCTGATGGCGATGTGATCTAGTTGAGTCCAACGTTGAGACGACTTTGGAGGTCGCCAGGTCAACAGGTGCTTTTCCTTATGCCTAAAGTTAGTGTTTGCTAAGAATAGGCGGTTGTCTGAGCATGTTTGCAACAGACGGTCACCATTGTCTGTTCTCTGAGCCGCGACACCATAACATCCACCTAGGTGTCTCTCCTGCTCACTTAGTCTACCTACTTGAGCATTAAAGTCACCAGCCATTATTACTATATCAGAGCGCCTAGCTTTTTGGAGGAGGTCCGAAAGCTTTCTGTAAAACTCATCTTTAACCTCGTCTGAACTGCATTCAGTGGGGGCACAGGCAGATACGATGAAGAGGCAACGGCGATTGTCCCTATCTTTCCGAGTCCTTACTGTCCCGTTTAGTCGGACAGCGCACAATCGACTATCTATTGGGATCCAGTCAAGGAGAGATTGTTCTGCTCTACGACTCAATGCTATGCCTACGCCAGCAAGACCCCGGGAAGCAGCATCAGGGCTACCGGATACACGAAGAGTAAATCGAGCTGCTTCTTTATTTTGACATGGTGTGGTCAAGTGTATGACGTGACTCGGATCCTGTATGCGCGTTTCCGAGACGCAGCATACATCGATGGCACGAGATTCTAAAGTCATAGCTAAGGAAGCCTGTTGCCCTATTTGACACAATGTCCGTACATTAAATGCTCCAACATGTAGTCTAGAGCGAGGTTTAAGGAGACCAGGAACGACCTTTCGCGAACTCGTATCGTCTGCATTAGCTGTGCAATGTGATGAATGAATGTGAGAAGAGTTAGTCGTGGAGATAAGAGAGACATTAGGGGGTGTAGAAAGGATTTGATTTTGACCAATTTGGTCTCGCGTGCTGTTATGGGTATGAGGGCGGTTGTCACTTCCCGGCTGCCCACACCGTGGAAGGTTGTTTCTTGAGGAACCTGAAAAGGAAAATAGATTAGTGTTGGTGCGTGACCGCAGAGTCCAAGGGACAACTGCTTGAGGCCGGTCACGCACGGCCTTTTTATGAAAGGTATTTAGAGGATTAGCTCCGTTCTTAAAGGCCCTTAGTGGGCACCCTTACCCAAGGAGACGGAAATCCGTGAGTTAGGGGAGGTGTGACATTTTTAGGGCCGACCTTTTCTAACCCTTCCTTCCTTGTGAGAAGGCAGCATCGCTGCAGATGCTGGTTGTCCAAGGGAAACACCTTACTGCTGTCACACCCCTCTGCAGTCAGCAGTACGACTTCGCCCTCGGACATGGGTGGCTGCTTTTAGTCTCATCGTTCTCCAATCGACCTGTCTGGCATGGTAGGACCTGCAGGAACATATGTTCCAGCCAGTATAGCTCGGTTGGATCATCACGATAGGCAAGCCCGACCACCACGTCAAGGTAGCAGCCACGGTCGGGTTGGTTTTGTCCATTCATATGATTAAATAACATTTTGGGATTGTAGCTGCCAGTTAGTCAATAAAACCCGAAACTCTACTTCTTACGCTTATATCTAACTCTAAATCACGTTCCTGATGCCTCTCATTGATCTGAAATCCTTTGCTAAACCTAGTAACTAGGCCAATAACCATAGGCACCGCTCAAAGCCGTCCAAAAGTTAGTCTCACCGCCTACGTGCACAAGTAGGTCCCAAACAGTTGTTTACCTTCATTAATTCAAAATCAGAGAATGAGTCCAACCAAACATATACAGACTATTAATTCATCTAATTTGATACCCAAATGATGCGAAACAAATCGCTGACGAGTCAGAACGTTGAAAGTAGCTTCTGCGACTGGCTTCTTACTAATGTGTTGATCGAAACGTCTACAAACTGTGTCAATTGTCTTAATTCCTTCGACCTATCCATTTCCAGGAAAACAAAGAGAGATTTTGAGGAAGACTTGAGAGGTAGTTCACATCACATAGCGGAAGTGGGGCTTGCCCACTGCTTGGTAACGCTAACACAATCCAGGCTATTTACAACAACCGGTAGTTTTGCTGATGTAGTAGCTCAGGTTCTATCTATCTTATCGTCTGTTTGATCGGTCCTTTGTTAGACGAAAAAGTTTACTAGTTTGGATTGG